TGTATAATATTGTTTCTTCACTTTTAGAACTAGCAATAGAGCAATTAGAAAAGAGGAAAAAAGAAAAGGAGAGAGAAAGACTTGGAAACATAGATGATGATGGTAAGTGATCTTTTACTTTTATACATACATAGTTTTTACCAAAAGAAAAAAAAAAAATATATTTTGACAGTAAATTTGTGTCGATATTTTATTTATAGATTTTTTAAATTGGCATATATTTAAGCTGTAGAATTTTGACTATTGTTGAGATCTTAGTTTTTCAGCTGTAAGAAAAAAAAACATTGTATGTTTGTAGATCCACCAATTGAACTTATAGAGTCCACAGTCCAGAACTCAGGAGGATGGGCTCACAGCCAGCACTTATGTCTAACCCACCAGATGTGACATTATCAGCTTTGCAACAGTCAAGCTAGAAAGTTTTCTTTATCATGATCATATCTTTTGTTTGTACTTATAAAATTCTATAGTGTTACTATTCACCATCTTTCAATGTGTAACAATTGCCATCCACCATCATTCAATGTGAATCAGCAAACTGTATGTAAAAGCTGATGTACCAATTCAGTTTTAAATTAATTATCAAGCTTATTTCCTTCCTGGTGTAATAGCTAGAACTGGTTATGTAAGAGTTAACATTTGTTTGTATGTGTTTCCCCACAGATCGCCCTGTTTTACCTCCATTAAGAACTGACAGCCTGCCCTACATGCCCAACAGCCCACGTCTCCCAGGCAGCACAGTTCAGGTCCTTACTCATAACGGCAGCATCTCATCTGACTCAGAGTAAGTCACAACTTTTACTTGGGAGGAAAACACTCTTTGAGATATCAGTCTTGTCTAATGCCTCACCCTTAATCATTTAATCATTGTCAAATATTTGAAAGTCATGTTAACTCTATGTACACGAATCAAGTTACTTATCAATCATTTGTCCTTTTTCTCAACATAACTTTATCTACATTAATTCATGCAAAATATACTGCAGTCCTGGAGCTTTTATTTGCCTCCTTTTTTTTTTGGTGCTAACTTTGATTGAATTAAGAACAAGTTAAAAACTAAATTTATTGGCGTCTCAATTTTTTGGTGGACTCGATTGTCTATGTGTAACAGTTGTTATCTGTGCATTTCTGATAATTAAGAGAGGATGTAAAGAATGCTTTTGCTCTTTCCCTTTAATCTTACACTTCTACAAGCTTTTAAACATCTAATCCATTCATCATGATGACTTTCAGATTTTAAATCTTTAACATCATGGTGACTGTCAAGTTTTAAATGTGTGACGTCATGGTGACCAGCAATATTTAAAATTGCCCAATTAAAAATGTCAAAAGTCCACTTAACAAACAAAGGATTTCAAACTTATTTTGTGCTGAGGAGTACAGCAAACTAACTAGGTTAATAGTCCCATTCTGCTACATGCACAGGATTCTTACCTACCTTGACTTCAATAAATTCTGATGTGACTGAATGTTCATGAAGTTTCATATTTCTTTTGTCTTAATTATAATATAGCCTAATATGTCACAGGAAATGATGAAGTAAATCTAAAATAAATGTTTCAACCCATGTTGGTCTGCTTAACACAATCTGCCTGAAATACTATCTTATCTTATATTATATGCTATTTTGTGTGAACTGGCAAAATGTAATGTTTTTAAAAAAATTAATTTATAAAACTGACATTTATTATATTTTTGAGCAAAGGACAAAATGTGTGCCTTATTTCCATGAATCGCATGAAAGATATGATTTTCTCTAATGCTTTGGTATGTTGTAGTTGTTGTGAAGCACCAGATGATTTATTTTTAAACATTGAAAATGTAGTCCTTTAGCTATGTGTTACAAGCTATGTGTTACATAATTTAACTCAAATAAATTGAGTTCTTATTATTTGAATATTTCTAGACTTCTGTTGTCTTTGGTATTGTGCTGATTATGTTTTTAGAAACTGAATGTCTCTTTATTTCTCGACCACTTTCTTTCTTAGATAATTACTCAAATTTTATCTGGCAGGGTTTTTAACAAAGTTACTGGGTTTTTAACAAATAAACATTTTTCTGGGCATATCAAATTCTTCAGGTTGGCTTATTATTGATTTTAGTTAAACCCTTGCAATCTTCACCATACTGAGAGAGATTTTAAAAATGAAATATATTGATTTCATTTAGCAAACGCTGACAAATTAATTTTTTCCATTGTTTGAATCCTACACATGTTAAATTTCCTGATCATTTAAAGTGAATGTTGCTTGTTGTCCCACACTATACATTATCAAATTGTTCTATGATTTCAGATCCAGTGAAACCACTGCTTGATGTGCCACTGAACCTGCTTATACTTGACTTTGTGTTACTGCTGAATGCTATTAGCTTAGTTTATTAATATGTTCCCCAATGTTAGTCTCTCTTATGTTCTCTGTATAGTCGTGTTGCGATAGTTACTGCAGAAGAAGGTTATAATCCTCAGAAAACTAACCAAATAAGAGTCCCAGATAGTGTTGTATGCCATGATTTGTACAATATTTGTTTATGTATCTGATCCTCACAGCCAAAGCAGTTTTACATCATCATAATGTGTATAAAAGACAAGTAGCAATTTTGCTTGTATTAAAAATTAGTTGTTTTTTTCTTATCATAGAAAATTTATTAAAATGCAATGAGTTCAAATTTCCCATTCGATTTTCAAGAAGATGCTGCAAAATAATTTTTTTGAATTATGTCTTTTTGCTCTTGGTATAGTTTTAAGTTTCATGGACTGTAGAATTTAGGATAAAAACCTGTGATAACAATCATGTATATGCATAACGTTCATTATAAATGTCTTTTTTTGTTTAAATGTTTTAGACAATATAAGTAATTAATGTTAATTTTCAAGGGAATTGAGGATTATTTATTTTAATTATATAATAAAAAAACTAATTCTGTTATAAATATACTAATTTATATATAAACTTACATTTGTCTACTGAAAACTAGTTAAGTTCTAACGGAAAATCACCTGTATTAAAAAAATGTTGTGAGTTTTCTACATTTGTACTTATGTATATCTGTGAAATGTTGGCTTTATTTGTTTTTCTGCTGATGTATTTTGACTATATTCATCATAAAGGCAGCTGTCTGCTTGCAATTGTTTCGTGTAACTGTTTTTTGTAAACAAATTTACCCATAAGCATTCCAAACATAATTGTGTTTTCTTTTAAGGCATGCCAAATATTCGGAAAGCCCAATATGGCTTTCTGTCTTAGGAAAAAATGGCTGTAGGTATGTCTGTGCTTTTGCTTATTGGCACTATTTACTTATTAAACTATTTTTTAACTGCTATACAGCTGATTGATATTTTTACAAAAATTTAACACACATGCGAGAAGGAATACTTATACTATAGCCATTTATTAAATACATCCAAAGTATCTTTTTTTTTAAATAAAAAAGAAAATGTCTTTGAATTTCTACGTTTATTTGCAACCCTAAAGTTTGTGAACATCTCGATCATTAAAAATGGTTCTAAATTTTTCCCATAATATTGATCAATTGCAAACAGGTGATGATTATTGTGGCTTGTAATTAGTTAGTCCTACAGCCATCTTGTTTGTTGGACTACTGCATTTTGATGTGACGCCAAGTGTCGCTAATTTTATTTGTATAAATGTTTGATGTGACTGTTATAAAGAGAAGAGAATGAATATATTCTAATGTTAACTTGCTCAGGCCCATTATTGATAGCCTGGTCAAATATGTTCATAATAAAAAAAATTTAATATTTCACATTAAATTTCAATAGCCCTATTTATTTTTCTGAGTGCCAATAGATAAGAATGGGTGTCTAGCATTAGTGTACATTAATAGGAAAGGATGCATGGAAGAATTTTTTTAAATCCAAATACTGTCAATACAATTATCATTTTAATTTAACAATTCTTAAGTAAATATCTTTTATCCGATAATAATTGTGATTTTTCAGGTCAAACAAAATCTGAATGATTTTTATTTTTAACCCGTACTTTATCTACTTTACAGTTTTTGCTGTTTTTGATAGTGGACTGTATATTTAGCCAATCTAAATGTGAGAGATTTTTCATCTTAGTAGAAAGTTGTTTACCAAAGAACATTTTTCAAAAATGGAAATAGTGTGGAAGTGTATATATATTCTGTAGTCAATGGTTAAGGCTCAAGGTTATCTTGACACATTTTGACATAATTTTACAATATGTGACACTAGTATTTAGATTGTTGTGTTTTATGGATGATTTAATTCTATGAAATGCAATTAATCAATTTATACCAACATTTTGTTTACCCAAAAAAAATCCAGCTCTAAATCCAACTTTTTATTTTATATCAAGTAAGCATTTTGTTTCATACAGCATGCAAAAATCCCATATAACTTTACCATCACAATTTGTCTCAAAACCATAATACTTGATATTTTGTCACTGTCTATATCTGCCATGACACAAACCATTTAGATTTGTTTAAATTATTTATTAAAATTAAAATGTATGCTTATCCTGGAAAAAGAATATTAAAGCTTTGACATGTATTTAGTCTTTGACACTGATTTTAATTTGTTTTACATGTGGAAAAGTGATTTTTTAGACTGGGCCACAACCATCACTCTACAAGTCATCTGAACCATGGACTGAAAAGTTTGCACAAGTCTACATTATATAAAAAATAAATGTATAACTTGCTCATTGTGCAGTATTTTTCATGAACTTGAAGAAAATTATTAGCCTGAAATTTTTTTTTTTTTTACAAGGCATGGCCCTATTAATATCTTTCTATTTTTACATAATCTAGCTGGGCTATAAGTTAAACTTTCATTGGATATTGGTATAAGATATGAAAAAAATGAAGCGGAGCTTTAAATTATAATTTACACCTTTCTTAATTACCAAAATACATCTTTTTGCAACATTTATTAATGTATATACATAACTTTAAACATGCAACTGAACAAATTTTCGTTATAACTGAAATGATAGATCTTGAATGGTGTGATTGAATTTGTATCAAGATAAAATTGCAATAAAATATAATTTTGTTTTGTACTTTGCCCGTTTTATCGTTTTCCAATTGGGATGAAAATGTGTTCAAGCCCTATTAAGTAAATAAATAGTAGAACAAGATATTTTTAGGCTTGAAAAGACAATCCTCTATCTTTGGTTTAGGCTTGAATTTAAAATTTGGGAAAATTCAGTTTCAACAGTACATCACAACATTATAAAGTGCAGAAGAAACAAAATACATTCTAAGACTGTACAAAATATTTTAATGTCACTCATTGCATTTGACAAGTTCACATCATATAACAAATTACTTTCAAAATTAACAATTTAAACATCACAAATGTTGGGGATGCTTTTAAAATAGGAAACAAAATAGGAACCTAATAATCTACACCACCTGCTTTCTATTCCACAAATATCCTGTTTATGTATCTAGCAAGATAAATATATTCACATCTCTCCACAAATACAAGTAAAGTAAAATGTTATTGAGAAATCGTTCTAAATAAGAATTACTGTATGGTTTTTGGATTCAAACTAGTTGATCGAAAACCAGATCTAAATTAAAAAGAATTTCAGTAAAGCTTTTAGCTCCTTGGTTTGTGGGATCTTCATGAACTGCTGCACAAAAAATGATCTTGGTTTCTTAGAAATTTCCCAAACAAACTAATATATATATCGAGGTCCTAGCTTCAAAAGTGTTATGTTCTCAGCCAGTACATGCCAGCACGCAATCTGTTGTAGTCTGTCAAGGCTTCAATAGGTCCTAGGATCAAGAAATACGAGGTTATATCTTTCCACAAGAGGAAGAAAAGATTATTCTTTAAAATAATAGAAATCACTTAATGCATGATAAATAATTTGTCATTGGTAGGGCTTGTGGGGATCAACACCCTTGTGGCAATGACTGACTAAATCTCTAAACAATTTTAAAATAAAGAGAAATAATATTTGCACTAATTTTTCACAGATTTACAAATCATAGTATCATTATTAGTAGTTATATAATTTATTTGTCTCAACATATCAATTTTTAAGGAGCTTCATGGTAAAAATTTAATAAATCTCAAAATCAATAAAAGGCACTTACCAATTCCTACCACTGCAGGGCATTTATCATATATGTATTTTGTGCACACTTCTTTCAATGTATCAGCTGTAATAGCCTATTCAATCATGCAAAAAAAAACCAACAGAATAACTTGATGTAAACAGCAATAATTTTTTTATAGCAATACATTTTATTTTAAATTTCTAAAATGTTAGTGATTCCCAAGAACGTATTTCAATAAGGCACAATAATATATAATATAAAAGTTATTTATTCCTCTCAATAATGTTCTACCCAATTCCCACAGGCTACTTAATGCTCACTCTGCGCCTGCCTTTTACCCATAGCTATAGTATGCTAATTTATGAGCCCTAACAAGCTTACTTACGCCCAAATAGAATTTATTGAAATTTGAAACTTAAAGGGATAGATATAGATGATGCTATGAATAAAGATAACTCTGAATCTGCCTTAAAAATTAGAACATCACTTGGTGCAAGTGGCAAGTTTCGCTAACAATAGTGACTGCAGTAAACTTGTGCAAATGTACTAATACTCAACTATAGATATTATTGAAAAGGTTTTTTTTGGCATCATTGTTTAATTTAAATCTTGATATTTTTTAAACAAGACCAAAAAACAATTTGACTATCTTATTTTTAAATATCTTTTTTTGTACCAGGGGGTTATGCAATGTTAATTAGGCACAAAAGATTGTTTACCTTAAAAGTAGGTTAGGTAGTGGTGGGTTCATTCATTTTACTTAAGTAACCTTTCATTTATAATTAAAAGTACTCACATTAAGTCTAATTTCCATCTCATCAATAGGTATTCTTCTGTCATAGCAAAGCATTTGTCTGAGGAAAAAGGAATACTCTATATTGGCTAATCATCATATAATTATATTTTTATTTGCTGAAACATTAAACCAGGGTCATTGGCAGCTAGAAGCTTTGCCCAAGAATAATTTCATTAGGTGTATGTTTATTGTGTACAAACGGCTAAGACAGTCTGTTTATTAAAATAACTCCCATACCTGACTGGTCTAATTTACTGCTAACTTAAAACAGTTCAAGTTGGGAAAAAAAAAAATCAGAAAGAAAATATTTAAAGTGAAAACAAAACATGTATTGTCCTAACCTGCCAATATCTTCACATATAGGTGTAGAGCCATCCAGCTGCAGGAGCATATTGGTCATCAACAAATTTTTGGCTCTCTCTACTTCAGCCTCTCTTACACCACCACAAAGACGCATCCTGTTTGTATTTATCAACAAGATATCATACAGCAGAGAACTCAATAGGAGTGTACAAAAAACAGTACCAAATTTAAGTGATATTTAAAAAAATGAAAGATAACATGACAATAAATTAAATATTGTTGACCATTTACAAATAAAAAGAGCAAATTGATAGATTGTGATAAAATTAGCCTACCATTCATGTTGGACATTGTAAATAAAGTCATCAATCATCATTCTGTCTGCGACAAAGTAAATACCCCTGTTAAAAATAAAATAATGTTAGTGAAGGGAGAGGGTGGTAGTTAAAGTAATCCCAATTTTACAACCTTGACTAACTAATGGCCATAAGATTTGCATTTTAAACCAAAGCCCTCACACCTTTATTATTAGAGCATCACTTCCTTTACACTTATAAAACATGAAAACTGCACAGTAAACTTGCACTACTGTGCTGCTGAATATATTTCTTTTAAGTTTCAGTTTCAAGTCTTTAAGATTCTTGAAAAGTCTGGATATCTGGACTGGCTGATGACTAGCCACACACTATCAACCTTTATAGTAAGAAAGAAAATCCATAAACCAACCACAAGCCAGTGTCTGAGTAGCAAGTATTGAAGGACTGGAAGCTGTGGGCCAGGTTAAGTTTGACGGTGTGCTGGGCCAGCTGACTGGGTAGATTGGTGCCTCCACCATGGGATCTGTCCCAGCTGCCTATCAGAGTATTGGCCACCATCAGTGCCAAATTATCCGGGTTCTGCCAGCCACATCCTTCCACTGCGATAGCTACATGAGCCAAAGGCATGAGATCATCTCGTATCCTGAGCTGTAATTATGTGAACAACAATTGTAAAACATAACCTCCCACAACTCTAGAATTTAATATTTCACCCCAAAGTTTTAAGAGCTTATATATGGAAGTAAAAACAAAATACAGAAGGATTAAAAAGTTTAGATTCTCATACCTCACTTCCTGTAAACCTTGCCTGGGGCAAGATGGGAATCTCTCCATCATAACCAGCGGTCATCTTTCCAAAGTGACGTTCTGCCAAGCTGCACAGCTCATTGTGATTAACTCCTGCAATTGGTGCACATTTAAGTTTTTGAAATGCATCTTTATTTTCTGAATTCTTCTTGTGTCATGCTTTGGTTTTCTTTGTTGAAACCTGCACTTACTAAAAGACTTCAAATTGGGCTCAAATAATTTTTTCTTAGATCAAATTTTTATCCTGCAATATATTATATCACCCACATCAAATACATATGAGCATTAATGTAAAATAATATTACCTCCAGCGGCAGCTAATACAATACGGGGGCCCTTGTAGTGAGAGTTAATATATTCCACAAGATCATTTCTAGTGATGGATCTATAAATGAAAAAATTGTTTTTAAGTATTTAAACCATAAAGGGTAATACAGATTTTCTTTAATTCAATTAATTTACCTTTTCTGTTTTAAAATAAGTTTAAATTTATCATCAGAGGGACTTAACACTAAGAAACCTACAACAAAACAAAAGCTGTCCATATATCAAAGCATTAGTCTCTGTTATTAAGACTTTTGAGCAAAATGGTGCCCATTCCATGAAAAAACAAACAGTATCAGCTTTCTAATTTTTTGTTCATGATTTCTTGGAAAGGTACTTGTTCTACTACAAGGTGAGAGAGAGTTTCTAATGGAATCAATAACATAAGGTCTTTTTACTATTCAAGACTGCAGTATCTGATGGGAGAAATGCAAAATGTATCCAATTTTTAAAATTAACATACTTGATGTTCTCAGTTGGTCCCAAGATTGTCTGTCCCAAAGTGGTACCTTGGTATGCTATTGCATGGAGATGATCAAATACAACTTCTTGAAGATTGGTCTCAATTTCCTAGGAATGTATGATATTAAAAAACTCAAATATTTAACTCACTATTTTTAAAAGGAAAGAAACTACAGAAAGCAGTACTTTAAAATAAAGTTGCAACATATCATACCTGCATTTCTCTGAGAATGACTCCCCTCTCCCTTTCAATCTCCTGATCTCCCAATAAACTGTTCTGTGTTATGTCTGCCAGAATCTCTACAGCTGTAAACAAAAGTTTGGAATAAAACCCAGGTGATCAGTTAAATAAATTGTAGTAGAAAGTCTATGTTTGTAAGACTAAAATAGGTCAAAGATGGTTACAGCAATAGAAAGAAATTCTATGTATATTTTGTTTAAAGAGGTGAACAGAATACTGAAAAAACAAAATAAATTACAATTAATTAATCCATACCTTTGGGTAGATCTTTAGCAAAACACTTGGCATAATAGACAGTTTGCTCACGAGATGTATATGCATTAAGATGACCTCCCATATTTTCTATCTCAAGTTCCAAGTCAGTTTGACTCCTTTTCTTGGTACCCTGAAATAAAAGAAATCAAAGAAATAAAACAAAATTCTGGAATGGACTTTTAGCCCAGCAAGATAGCTATTAAGATAAATATCCATACCACTTAGTCAGAAAGTGTCAGGCATTGGGCTGCAATGAGAGTCTGTGGTCACAATCTTTCAGCACAATGTGAAAATAACTTTTTAAAAAACATGAAAATGTCTAAAAAAAAAAACAATTTAACAACTCTTTCCAGCCCCTAAATTTTATCACAATATCTATTTTTTAAACTACTTTTGATTAAATACACAATTTTGCCCTCATCACACTGAAGAAAAAAAAATATGTAGTCATTAACAATCAAATATGTTTCAGGTGAAAACAGTTATTTAAATGAATACCTTAAAGGCCATATGTTCCAGAAAATGTGCAACTCCATTGTTTTTAGCATTTTCATACCTACTACCAGCATCAATCCAAAGGCCAACCTGAAAAAAATTCAGGTGAAAACAGTTATTTAAATGAATACCTTAAAGGCCATATGTTCCAGAAAATGTGCAACTCCATTGTTTTTAGCATTTTCATACCTACTACCAGCATCAATCCAAAGGCCAACCTGAAAAAAATAAGGGGAAATATTCAGTGCTTACAATTTGTAATTATGTAAAAAGAGTTCATAGCCGATATACACATATAACGTATAAAACCAAGTAAAATGTGAGAAACACTTAGAAGTTAAGACAGACTAAAACATAAAACTATGCCAAGCTTCACAAATGAACTTTAAAATTGTATTGTATCCATTTTGCAGAGTGTGTAAGTTAAAATATATTAAAAAAACAACACTAGTAGGGTCAAGGCACAAAATCCCATATTTAAAAAAAAAGGTTTTTAACAAAGTCAATTTTGCATTTACAAGAGATTTCACGAATAAACTTACAGTGCTTGTGATAATCCCAGAGTCCTCAGTGGCAACTCTAACGCCATTGCTCAAACGGGTCACCTTTGTTTCTGGCATATTCAGTACTGCCTGTTCGTACGTGAGAGCTTTTGCAGATTTCCATCTTCTGTTATACAAGGATGCAACATATGGTACCTGAAAAAAACAAAAAACAATTTGAATTTCAAAAAATCAAAATATTTTTTTGTATCCAAAAAATTGTGATTTAAATTGATGTACAACTATTTACTATTGGGTAGTATATAATTGGTTATTGTCAAGATAAGATGATGATACTAGGACAATGTTGTATGTGGTGTTGTAAACAACAGTCAACACTTTTTGCTTGAATATATATGAATACATATTCAAACTCGAAGTTTTTATTGGTGGAAGATGCTGATTTCAGTGTAAATTAAGTTATTTAGTTGCAAAAAGTCAGTTATCGATCAATAATAGGTAATTTTGAGACATGTGACATAAATTTGGTATGCATTTTTTCACCAATGAACTGGGTCCTAGCCCCACGAATTCAGGGTATGTTGTAATTTAAATTTATGCAGTTATCAATGGACGACTTTCATTTAAGAAAGACACCTTCCCCACAAAATAATATGAATGAGTAAATTTAGCATTAATTTACCTCCAAATTTAGTCTCAAATTCTTTTTTTTTTTTTTTTTAAAAGGGGGGGGGGGGGGGGGGGGGGGGGTTCAAATTGATAAAACAAGATGTCTGCTTACAGATAAATGCTGACATATAATTTGCATTCTGGTCTATAAATGACCAAAAAATTTAAAACAATGATAGATAGTCTTGGTAAATTAAATAAAAGTGGCTGCGTGCACTGCAGCGGTGTACCTAGCAAAACCATGGACCTAGACCTGCGTACACCGCGGCAAAATTATGTAGCATTGGCCTGGTTTTAAGATATGCCTGTTAAATAAGATCTTGTGTGGTCTTGTGGTAAGAGTAGATGCAAGGCGATATTATATTTTGTGATCAATTCCCAGAAGGGGATCAAGTTTTTTTTCCATTTTAATTAAAAATATATTTTATATATAAAATATCATGTTCATTTGCAACAGTATGTTCATGAGAATTTTACAAATATTTTGTAGCAATTTACATTTTAAACATGTTATATTCCGATTAATTGTTTAATTTTAACTTCAACAAGTTGTGCCGGCCTTTGACTTTGAAAATACTGGCAATAAGACATTAGAAAACAAACTGAAAGCGCATGTATAGTGTATGTAACATGTTTAATAACCACAGAACCAATTTAAATACTAAGTAATATTTTATTGTATTTCAACATCCTTTATGTAGTTGAATATTTACATTTTACTTTTACATACAAAATGTAAATGAAGCGATGATGTAGACTACAAATTTTCTAGAATCTATTACTATTACTGTATGAACGAACATCCAATGAAAATACCAGTATATCATATTCATATGAGTATTAATGTGCATGGTCGTTATTGCAAACATCTTGGTTTCTCTCACTATGCATTGGCAATATTTACACACAATATTTACGGTTCATTCACAACCCTCAGTCTCAAAGCAAATCTTTTAAAACACCACGATTTTAGAAACTTAAGGCCGGTAGCAAACTGTTTAGCAAAGCCATAGGTCTGCGTTTTAAATATTTACCCTGTTCATGACAGAATTTGTTTCCAGAATGGCAAGGCATTTAATTTGCTAATCAGCTTTGACATTGTCTCACAAAAACCATTGCACTATGTAGATACTTCGGTAAACCAAGGGAGGCTACTACTTTTTGTGTATCGGAAATGGCAATCGGCGCCGAAAAATCAGAGTTTTTAATTTTGCGATGTGTGTGTCTATTTATTATTAAATGAGTGCTTTCTATATATATTTGAGTTCCGTTTCCGGCCTTATAATAAGATAGACATGTTGGCCTACATTTACATTGCTTTTTTTTAATTTTTCAATCGACCTGTATTTTGAGATTCCCTTGTAAATATAAGGCATCTTTCACTATAAAATTCGTATAGAAGTTCAACTTTTATGTCTTTAAAAAAAAGTCTTATTCTGTATTATCTATCGATGTGTATTTGTGTCAATTCTCATTGAGTTAGGACATGTCGATCACTTGTTATGCTCACTTGAGTGAACCCCTATATGGTAATGTAGCTCAGCCCAATTTCGATAAGGAAGTGGCCACGCCCCCTTTCAGTGACGGAAGACGCCGTTACTTAGGAAATATTTAATTATTTCCACTATTTACATCAAAATATTTGATAACTTATGTTTTAGAATGAATTTAAATGTTATTGAAAGAATAATATTTTAATTTGAGGTTAAAAAACCCGGTAGAGTCCATATTATACATGATCAAAATTCGCCGTGTGCAAAATGTCATGGCAGCCATTCACAGTGACTTGCATAAGGGCTATTATTTACTACTATCTCAGAGATTTCATTCATAAAAGTTTGCCGTGTGCAAAAACTATTCAACTAGGTCAGGGAAAGCTTTAATTAATTAGTCATGTAACAAAGTTGAAAGTTCAATAGTTCCCAAACAGTATTTTCGTAATTAGGGCATGAGTTGCCTTATATAGACTATATAGTTTATATAGCAAATATTGGTATAAAGGACGTCGTAGATTTGGTAAACAGAAAAGCCATATATTAATACATTATATTAAATTTACTGATAGAAATAATGCATAGTTAGATAAGCTACAATTTATCTATAATTGTTAACATTATTAAACTTATTTTTTTAATACAGCATTAGTTCTGAAAATAAAATTATCATTAAAACAAGAGTTATATAGCTCGTGACGCGAACAGCGGAATTGGGTCACTGAATGTGGAGATGGGGTCCATGTTAAAAAAGGACAAATTAAGTCGTACTTTAAAAATTCATAACTTTAAAACTACAACAGCTAAAATATGATTTTGGTGTTATAATTCTTTTAAAAATTAGCTCTATTCAACTATGTCATTGGTTTATTTTTTTTTAAAGTTTTAATTTTGTTATCAAAGTATCTACACTATGAGCATGCGACAGGATTTGTGTTATTTCAATTTGTTTTTTGTTAAGAAATCGATCCGTCATATATACATTATGGGCAGAGGCTCAACAGGGGGCACAAAAAAAAACAAATAAGGGGCCTACACAAATTATGGCTCTGGATATGAGTTGTCCACAAAGTTGACATCCAACGGCAGTTTTTAATTCAGAATTAGCCCTGTACATGATTTAAATTTTAGTTTACAGCTCTTAACTGTAAGAGTAAGTGTCACTACTAAAAAGATTTGGTATAATATTTCTAGGCTTTAAAAATTATAATGAACAAAAATTAATATACCCTTTGGGTAGAGTTCAGAATTCTTGTAGCACTAATAGTGACCTTCAACAGCGAAGCAGCCATTTTGCCGAAAGAAGTAGATACGCAGGCGCAACCGGATATTATGGAAAAGGTATTGTAGAAAAATCTAAGTTTGTTGATGCATTTACGAAACAAGTAAATTTGCAAAATCATGTTACGAAAGAGGTTACTAAAGTTTAAGAGATCGAGGGGCTGTAACAGAGCACGAAACCTAACTGACTTAGTTATTCTGCAATGGACAACAGGGGTTCAATCTCGCAGAGATACTACCAAGTTCAAGAGATATGATTCTTGTCATTGTGAATTGAGCCTTAATTCTTATTCAGTAAGAGTATACTTATACTATTATTATACTATACTTTACTATACTTATACCGTTACTATTCAAAATTATAAAACGCACTAAAATAAAAGAGTTTACCCTATATAAACTATAATAGTCAGTTGAGTCAGTCACTTTAGTTTGAAATATTTAACTTAAATTAAGTGAAGTGGCTAACTATAGATAGACTGTACTTAGACTATAATAGACTATAGACTTTAAATAGGGAACCATGTCCCAGAAGTGAGAGGTAGGTAGGGATTTAAAAATATTAAAAGTAATATTGTTGGGTTGTATGACAAAATTTGGTATTAAATGATAGATAATTGAATGGACTACAGACTATATGTTTGTTACAGTTTGTAAACTTACTTCTTCTTCTTCTTCTTCTATATCTTAAGGGCCCACGATCAATTTATTGATCATTTTGGCTCCTATGCATGTAGATGGGATTTGCAATGTTTCTGTTACTGGTGGTGATGAGGAAATTATGCACTAGGGGTTTGAAGGCTTGGGGCAATAGACACAAATGTGTCTAGTGTTGTCGCCTCAACTGTTAGTACAAACCCCGAAATCACATAATTAGCTAAACATTTTGAAGACAGTGACTTTTGGCTCATCCTTTGACCAGCAATGGTGACATTTTAGATTATAAATCACAGTTTGTTGAGGATTTACTTGACTGATAATGTCAAAGTCAAAGAAATATTCCTCATTAAAAAAACATGTACACTAATCCCATCTAACCGGAAGTATCTTCACTTGACGATGGATACAGTTCTTAAGAGATTTTTGCATCATATTTCCTTCATCCCCTTGTCAAAGAGGAAAAACTGAGTTTTAGGGGTTAAGGCTTAAAATTTGATTGAACGTGTTGTCATCGGCTTTAAGTCTATGTGGCAAAATTCAGCTCGATAGGTTGACGTGAAGTGAGTCAATTAGGCGCACACGATGCTTTTTACCACACACCCAGGCAGAAAGAAAGAAACATACGTAGAAAAGCGAAGTTAATATAAAGGCTTTAAAGTATTTTGCAAACGTTTGTACTGGGTTGAGCCATGTCCTTCCAGTTAAGACTGCCACATGTTTCACCAGACGGGTAACATGTCAGGTGTGGGAGATAGCTTGTTATATCGATGTTCTTTATTTTGTTTGGTGCACAGGGGACGTTGGCATGGCGACGTCGTGGTTCACGTCTTTGGGAAACTACGTCAGAAGGACAAAGATGCATTCTGGGCCAATTTGGGAAAGCTCTGCCGCATACGTCACGAAAATATCATTCTGTTCATGGCGGCTTGCACTAGCCAGCCCAACCTGGCAGTTGTCACCTGGTGAGAATGTCAATATACGTCATGAATGTGCAATTAGTTCAACTCATTGGCAAGCACACCTTTTGAGATTATTTAATTTTTTTAATTGTAACAAAGATATCGCTTTTAATTTTTCAAAATATTTGGCAAATCTAATCAAGATGTAGAAAGACCTCTTAGACGTGCGTAAGTTGTTTGTGTTTTACTAAAGAGTTCTAAGTTGTGAAGCGGTAAAATTTGATGCTTAGATCGCTGTTTTTAGTTTGTAGTACGGGACGGCAGACCTGTACATTTGAACTATTAAGGGTATAACAATAGAGACGGCGTTCATGGTTATTTTGAATTATCTGTGATTTCTCCCACGTCTTCTATTAAGCATGTTTACTTACAGGATTTATCTGAGTTGTTTTATATCTCCTCCTTGGAGCGTTTACGGTATATGTCACCATACGATATCATTATTGTCCTAAGAGACTTCAGTAAGGACCGTCCCTCACACCAACCACACAGCGTCCACCCACACCCCATTGCTGAGAATTGAATGTGCATGTCGTGTGTGTGTGTGTGTGTGTGTGTGTGTGTGTGTGTGTGTGTGTATGTGTGTGTGTGTGTGTGTGGTGAGTGTTCTGTTATAATAACATGTCCGAGACTCACGTCTTCTCTCTCTCTCCACAAGGGAACTCACTAGGTATTCCTGTAGCGGTTTAGGACAAAGCGTGCTGCTCGTCGCTGGACCGCCTCCAACCTGTCAATGCTCTTCTGGGTAAATGGGTCCCAGACTGAAGATGCATAATCTAAAATCGGACGGATAAATGCTTTATATGCTCTTTCTTTCACACAGGAGTTGCCAATCTTTAGATTTCGCCTTAAGAACCCTAGGGTCTTGTTTGCTTGGTTACATACATTGTTAATATGTTCATCCCATCGGACCTCTCTTTGAATGGTAACACCCAGGTACTTTACGGAGGAAACTTGCTCAAGAATATGGCCGTGCAGTTTGTATTGGTAGTGTAGAGGAGTACAACTTCTAGTGATTGATAGTGTCTGGCACTTGGCAGGGTGAAATTCCATGTCCCAGCTCATCTCCCACTCAGCTAACAGATTGAGATCCTGTTGCAGCTGGTCCTGGTCAGATCTATTGGCGATCGTCCTATACACTGCTGTGTCATCTGCGAACAGTCTTGCCTGTGATGCCAGTTTCTCCGGTAGGTCATTAATGTATGCTAGGAACAAACAGGGGCCCAGGACTGATCCCTGGGGGACCCCTGACTTCACATTGACAAAGGAGGAGATTGTACCGCCCACCACTACTGCTTGGCGTCGGTGGCTGAGGAAGCTAGAGATCCATGTTTTAGTGGTGCCTTGAATCCCATATATCTGGAGTTTGTGTAGAAGCAAACTATGATTCACACTTCTTCAGTGTAATTAAAATAAACTACCACAAATGACATCCGAATACACCAAAGTACCAAAGAGCATTTCATAAGGACCCGGGTCCCAATAGCGGCTATGTCTGGGTCAGTTTAGACTAAATTTAAATGCTAATCGGATGTCATTTGTGGTAGTTTATTTTAGTCTAACTGAAGAAGTAAGTTTACAAAAATACAGTCCATTCTATTAAATTATCTTTCATTTGATACCTAATTTTGTCTTACAAATCCTACAATAATATTTTTTTAATAAACCCAAACTCCCACTTCTGATACCCGGGTCCGAATAGTCGCAGCCTAAATTAAGACAGGGCTAATTTTAAATTTATTATTAAAATTATTATGAAATCAGACAAGACATGTCATGAGAAAATACAAATTTCTACAGCCCTTAACTATTTCGCTGCGGAACAACCCACATTCACATTGCATTCATCCGCCCTTCTTTAAAGCACGGACCAACGCACTCTGTGTTGTTTCAGTATCATGTTTGTTTCTTTGCTATTTCTCGGTTAAAATTTGTAAGAGCTATTCTACAAACTTATGACAGAAGGCAGTACTGTATGCTTTGGTTGGTGTGGTTTGCTGAACAGCGCCTTCTAATATAATAAAGCAGCAATTCAACAGAGATAACTTTTGTTTCTCTCTTGCATTTTTCTTTCTTTTCTTTTTTTTTTCCAGGAGATGATGGTGATGAAGAGGTTAATGAAGATTGGGATCTTTTTTTTTTTTTTTTTTTTAAAAAGAAGAAAAATAATAATAAAAAAAATAAAGTTCATTTCAAAAACACACGCTTCATCCCCAAAGGCTCGAAGCGCGGTACAAATTCAACAAAAAACAAATCTATAATTTACCACATTTAAAACAAACGCAACACTACAAAAACTAATTACAAGCATACAATGGCAAAGTCTTTCTAGCCATTTCAACCATAAGCAACACAGCCATTATGCATTAACTGGAAAATAAGGTTGACAATCATCCCAGAAGGTGTTTGCGAAATAGATGTGTCTTTAAATCGGTTTTAAAGGACTCCAGTGTCTGGTTGTTTCTGAGATCGACAGGAAGGGTGTTCCAAATTGTTGGACCAGCAAATGCGAAAGTGCGCTTTCCGTAAGTCTCAAGGCAAACACGTGGTGTCGAGAGTTTGCCACTATCGGATGAGCAGAGCTCTCTAGTGGGTACATAAGGCGTAAGCAGCTCTTTCAGATAGGATGGCGCCAGGTCATGTAAGCAGCGGTAGCACAAAGTTGCGATTTTGTACTCTATGGGAGCACGCAACGGCAGCCAATGCAACTCTCTCAGATGTGTTTTTGCATGGTCGAACTTGCGTTTGCGGAGAACAATGCGAGCCGCATTATTCTGTGCTATTTGAATTTTATCCAGGAGCGTAGCTGGAAGACCCACCATGAGAGCATTGCAATAGTCCATGCGTGATAGCACAAATGCAGACATCAGCCTCTTTGTTGCATCAATTGTTAGGAAGGGCCTGATGTGACTAATCCTGCGCAGCTCCAGAAAAATCACCTTGCATAGCATGTTAATATGACTTTCAAAAGTTAGTCTTCTATCTAGGTAGACACCCAGGTACCGCACTGTTTGAGCTAACTCAATACGCACACCTGAGAGAGTAATGGATGTAAATACACTTAAGTCACCAAGTATCAGCGGCTATAAGGCTGATAGCCGCACACTTTCTAGCGAAAAGTATTCTATTTTTAATTTGGGACTGCCGTTCTGAGCAGTGCCAATTATTGATAATATTGACCGTAGGGCCTAAATAACAAACTATAAGACTATACTTATACTCCAATTATTAAAACTCCAATATATATATTATAATAATGTACTTTTACACTGTCTTAGAGGATACTCTTCTTCTTCTACTATATTATAACGGGCGCACAATCATTTTAATTGATCATTTTGGCTCCTATGCATGTAGATGGAATTAGTCTTTCTATTAGTCTTTAATATTACTATTTTCTATTACTGACTAACTGTAACTTAACTACTAATTTATGGTCAATTAAGGGACTGGTACCACCCTCCGTCCCCCCCTTTTTTTTGGGTATTATTTTTTTAAACATTAATTTACTGAGGCTTAAATATCTTAATAAGCTACATAACTTATATTACTTTAATGCTAGCATATTAAGCCTATTTATTATATATTATAAAATATCCTGACATTAGGGCCTAGGCACTTCGGTAAAGCAAAGTAGACTACTTCAAAATTTGTATTGGAAATTGCAGTCAACGCAGAAGAATCATTAAATTTTTGGCCTGCTGCGCTTTTTTCGTTGATAAAAAGACTATTTTATCATAAAATTGTGGTATCCTTTCATATGTTCACAATAGGGGACATCTTGACCTACATTCCTACATATCGTTTTGCCTTTTTTGATCGACTTCAATTTTAGAAATTCATAGGTTTATATAAGGCATCATACATTTTTCATTTATATGAGAATGAATGTGCTGTGTTCAAATGCTTTTAAATCATTGGTCATAGAAAGCTTTAATTAATTCGCCATATGCAAAAGTTGAAAGTTCAAAATAAGAATATAAAAGTTGTGTGAAAATTATCATTTAAACGAGTTATTGCGCATGGCAGGATGAGCAGAATGGGGTCACAAAATGTGGAGGTGCAGTCAATAGTAAAAAATCCAAACATACTCTAAAAATTAATAGCCCAAAAAGTACTAAAGTTAGAAAGTTGAACTGGTTTCATTTTTGTATTTGAAGTATGCTCTATATATCTGTAATATTTTTATAATTTTAAATATTTTTAAAATGAAGTACTTCCTTAGGCCTACCCATTTTCGCTCCCCCACCTATACTTTCCCTCAAATGGTACCATCTTTCATCTTTTCTTAAATTTTAAACTTTTAAAAGCTGTCCCCTTTAGCATCAAAATTAGACAGAAACATTCTCCCTGACTTACCACTAACCCTCTAACCACTACCCTTACCCTGTATTATGTAACTAAGTGAGTAAGAAGGCCTCCCTTTAATTTTACTACCAAAACAAACTGCCATCACTCCCCTTTCCTCTCTCCCCTAACCATCCCCTCTACCCAAAACTGCATGCACATCATTGCCCACCCTCTGTAAACTAATCCACTTACTGGTTCGCACTGCCCCTAAACTCACTCATTACCCTCCCCAGTTTTCTTCATTACTTGCTCCTGTCCCCTGCCATACTCATTACCCTACCCAGTTTTCTCATAAATGCCTCAGTTGGAGAAAAGGCTCTAAAAATAATTATCTAGATATCAGCTCTTCTATAAATACCTGTAAAACAGCCCGGTCAAACGAAGCATGATATCTATAAGCACATTGCTTCCTTATATCCCCACAAGACAACTACGTTCTTCCATTGACAGTAGAACCCTCTCAATCCCAAGAACTAAAACTAAGACCATCGGTGAACGCTCCTTCTGCTTCCATGGGCCCACGTTCTGGAACCAGCTCCCCTTCCATATACGTCATAGTGAAACCTCGTCCATTTTCAAAAAGTCCCTTAAAACTCATCTGTTTAGGTCCGCCTATGACCTGTGAGTCACCCTCCTTGCCCTACCTCATTTTCTGTTTCGGGTTGATCCTGAAGTGTCAAAGTGTCCTCGTTTTATAGCCATTTTCATTGTTTCTATAGAATAGTAGTTACTATCCTAGTGTCTCATTTGTATTTACTTAGTTTACATGTTTTAATAATTGTAAAGCGCTTAGAGCTTTATGATAAGCGCTATATAATCTGAAGTGTCAAAGTGTCCTCGTTTTATAGCCATTTTCATTGTTTCTATAGAATAGTAGTTACTATCCTAGTGTCTCATTTGTATTTACTTAGTTTACATGTTTTAATAATTGTAAAGCGCTTAGAGCTTTATGATAAGCGCTATATAAAAATGCCTAAATAAATAAATAAATATCACATTCAATAAACATATTACAATCAGAATACTATTATATATGCAGCACTCAAAAAAACAACAAGACAAGATGTTGGCTCCTTCACCAATGCTCCAACAATACAGCTTTTGCAACATATCATTATTAAATTAATTACAATAATCTGAAAACAATATTAAAATTGCTTTTTTAACTTTCCCAATCCAAAGATAAATACTGATGATGAATCATGAGGATGAGGAAGACGATGGCAATAGATTTGAAATGGCCATGGAAATGAGTGATGATGATGAAAATCTTGCAACTCCCCCAATGTTAGAACAAGGAGCAAAGGGGGGGATTAACACCCTGCCGATGCCAATCTTTGAAAATGGTCGCTTTCAGAACCCTTGGAGAACTTGGAGACGCCCAAAAGTTTCAAACATATTTAGACTCCTTTTCTGCACTAAAGATGATGGTAAAATACCTAGAAAAAATGTAAGAAAAGTTATCAATTTTAGTTAAAATATTTATACTTAATTTTTTAGATTTCTTGTCTTCTAAATGTCTTATTTATCATCTTCAAAATGTCTTGCATCTCTTTTATCATAATATTATGCACATTGTCCATTCCAAATATATATATATATATATATATATATATATATTCTTTCTGTATATGTTTAAAGTCAGTCCTAATATCTAATGTTTATTTATTAACCTAATGTGAAAATGTGTCTTGTTTCATGTAAGACACAATCATATCAGACTGACCAATTTAAATAAAGAACTTTTAACAATTTCAGGTGCTGGAGAGAATGCTGCCTGTATTAAAGCCAAACTTATTGGAATTTAGGTCAATGCCCATCTCAGGTGTTCGCCATTTATGGATTGGGCACTCTACATCCTTGGTTCAATTTGACGGTGTCACTCTCATAACAGACCCCATGTTTAGCGAGAGATGTTCCCCTGTTCAATTTCTAGGTGTCAAGAGATTTCGACCAGTCCCTTGTACCGTTGATGAGCTGCCACATTTAGATTTCGTGCTCATAAGTCACACGCATTATGATCATCTGGACTGTGGCAGTGTCATGTCTTTGAATCAGAAGTAAGAAAATAGTCTGTTGATAAAGAAAACTATAAAAAAAAACAATATATCTCCAGACCTGGTTACTTTTATGATTATGGTGTACAATATACGAATTGACATGGCTTTTACCATTGATTTTACACCTGCCAGAACTACGATTTTAAGAGACTAGTTTAAAAAAATATATTTCCATAGTTTTTCCAAATAAAAAATGTGGGGTCTGGGTTCTAGATCTTTTCTTCATCCTGCGGTGAATGACCCAACATTACAATGGGTTAGGCACCATCCATAATTATATTGGATATGCACTGAGAAGGAAAGAAAGGAGTGTGGGGTGATGTTGACTTAGGAGTGTATGGGAGGGGGTGGGGGGATGTCAATAGTTTCAAAGGATATAACATAACACTGTCTCGTTTCATTGTGATGGGGATCATCACGATCTTTGTACTGTCTTTGTGTTTTCACAATGGACTGGCTAGATAAAGTAACAGTAATATTAGTGTAGTGGCCCTAGTGATACATTTAGTCGACATTCGCTTTTTCATGCCTCTGGGCTGTATGATGTAATTCAGTGACATACTTATATCATTTCGCTGAATCGCTGTGATTGAGAAAACAACGGATATTTTTTTAAATTATTAATTTTTTTAAAAATGAATTCTCATCTGCTCCACACAGCACCGTTGGATTTTACTTTTTTTTTTTTTAAATATCTAGAAAGCAGCGGTACAGTTAAACCCACTTATCTCGAGCTCAGTTAAATCACCAACCCTATTAAGTCGGCATTTTTGAAGTGGAACTGCCAAATTCTCTCTTTATCTTAGCATTTTCTCATTGGTTATGTTGATTCTCTTGTTGCCGAACCCTAGTATCTTGTCTGAGGGATAAAACGCTGTAGCTTTTCTGTTTATTGTTTTCCTCCTAAAAATATCTGGAGGTGTTAAGAGAAAACTGGACAATCAGTCAAAAGAGAAAAAAGTATGAAATCATACCTTAGCTAGAAAAAGAAACAAAACCGGCAGACCTTAGTTGTCAGCATGGCATTCCAGCAAACACCATTTCAGGATGGAATAAGAAGGTGGATGTGATAAAGCAAATGTACGAGACGTCTGTCTTTGATCCAGCAAGAAGAAAACTTAGAATGGGTGCGCACAAAGATGTCGACGATGCAGTGTTTCAATGGTTCACAAATACATGAGCAACAAACCTTCCCCCCAAAGGTCCCTTGCTAATGGAGAAGGCTGACATCTTTGCTGCATAATGTACATAAAGAAATTTCAAGCACATGTTAATATATTGCCGCCATATTGATTTTCGTTTATCTGGATCATCGGTTATCTCTGCGCTTTTTGGCAAACCCCTAAGCCGACAACATAACCGGGTTCAACTGTACCCCAGTTTGGTTCCAAAACTTCTCCTTCCCTCTCCCAAAACAACTTGCAGTAGTTATTAGACTATAATATATTAATGGCAAATAAAAGTAAGCCCCTAGAGTTAATGTTGGGGTGGCTAACCCGAGGCCCGGCGTGTGTAATATTGCGGCCAGACAGAAGTATCACAAATGAACTTGTTTTATTATTCAATTAGCGATTATTATTATTAGCCTTTATTTTCGTGTTTGGTATAAACACACATTTGAAACATATTTGCATCACTTTTGACGTTCTGCTCCATTTTGGTGCACCAGCCCCAATTTTGGACTGATTTTTAAAAGAATGACATATTAAATCAACACAGCTAGGTAAAGGGAACCAAATTTTCCATGCGCATTTCTTCTGTTTTTCTCCAAATACATGTAGATTGCTGTGAAACTAAATTCAGGTATATGCCAAAGTGCATCCTTGTATTTCGAAATGTAAAAAAAAACTTTCTGGTGAGTGAGGCTTAGCTCCTTTTCCAAACCCCACCCACACTTGCACCCAGGTATTAATTTTCTGCTCCCCTAACCCCTCCTTCATCAGTCATATGTTTTGGCAAAGTGACCTTTAGTTAGCAAATAGTTATTCTTTACATTCAGTGGTGTAGCTAGGGCAGGGGTGCCACTATTCCGGATTCGTGAAGCTAAATATTTTTCATTGTTTTTATTTTCTCTCACTTTGAATTGGCCAGTTCAATTTATTCAAATACGGAATCTGGGTTTTAAAAAAAAAAAAAATCAGCGTGTAAGAACACGCCAAAGCCTATTCAGTTAGAAGCGCGTTTGCTATAAATAGAACAGGTACTGCAACCTCTAGCTTTCGTTTGCAAGCACCTCGCTTCTTGCTTTGTCAAGTTATTTTCTACAGGGTATGAATTTTATGAGCTTCGTTGAGTTTCAGGGTTTGAAAAATTTGTAAATGCAGTCAGGTTTTAAAAAATTTTTGGAAAGAGATTTCAGAGTTCATAGCTTTCAGTGAGTGGCATCCATGAGCTAGGGTAAGGTCCACCCAGGGTGCCCAATAATTTTGCCGCCCCTTTCAAAAAAAAAAAAATTGCAGTTATCCAAAAATGCCACACCTCCATATAGACAAAAAAAGTGCTGCCTGGGCGGACTGCACCCATTCCTACTGTATCCTGTATCTTTGTTAATTTACTATTATGCAATGATATTGTTCCATTTTTAGATGGGTAAGTACTATTCTAAAGTAACCAGGTCTGCATCTCTATACTTAAAAGTTACACCATATTTTTATCTACCTTATACTCATCTAAAAAAAAGAGCTATCACTTGATTTTAAACTGCTTTTATTTCAATACATAATTCAAATATTCGGTACTTGAAAAATTTGAATTTTCTGTCTACAGATTTGGGGAAACTCTTCGCTGGTATGTGCCAATGGGTTTAAAAGAATGGATGAATGACTGCGGCTGTATGAATGTTGTAGAGATGACATGGTGGCAGGAAGATGTTTTTGATGATAACACTAACATCAAAGTTGTGTGCACTCCTTGCCAACATTGGGGGAAACGAACAACACATGATGAAAATAAGGTTGGATTTATAAGATCTATCTAAAAGTATTGTTAGACCATAACATTACAAGAATCACATTATTGGGAACTGCATTGTAGGTGGAGACACATGTAAATGCAAATTTATGATTATTTTTCATTGATGATGCATCTAGTATCCATGATCATTATATCTTCACAGGTCTTGTGGTGCAGCTGGTGTGTCATTGGCCCAAGGCACAGTTTTTACTTTTCAGGTGACACAGCATATTGCAAGGTTTTTAAACAAATTGGGAGAAGACTTGGGCCCTTTACTTTGGCTACAATCCCTATTGGTGCCTACAGCCCCAGGTAATTTCTGAATATGATTTATAAAGTCAATTACTAACATTCTAACAGTCTTAATAGTTTTAATCTATCTTTTTAAATGAAAAGTCCTCAAAATATTATTCAACCAGAATTATTCATTCATCTAAAATAAAATGCAGAGGTTTTAAATCATGTCTTTGCCTTGTAGATGCAACCTGACTGATTGATGAATCATATAGGAGCAATACAATGAATGACTGAGACATGTAATTTGCAAGTTATTTATAACAAAGGATATTAATAAAAGAATTTAAATCCATTGAAAAAAAAAATTAAATTAAGAGTTGAGTTTATTATACATTTTGTTACTCTCAGATGAATTAATATATATTTTGATTTCTTTTTAAGAAACATTATGTCAAATATGCATGTAGATCCAGAGCATGCTGTCTGCATACACGAAGACTTACGATCACAGGCTTCTATTGGAATCCACTGGGGGACTTTCTCTATAGCTTCAGAGGTACAAACACCTTCTAGAACTTGACTTTTCCCACTTGTAAGACCAAGATAAACACATTTTTAGTTTCTGTACTAAACTATAGTTTTATGTCTGACACAGTCACAAATCAGATCAAAAAAGATACTAAATGCTATCTTATCATCATTCACTTCACCAGCCATTCATGGAACCAAAAGAACTTTTAGCAGCAGAAGTCCAACGACGCAACATGAAACCATCATCATTTTTTACTGTCAACCATGGAGAGATAACTATTGTAGGTTCTGATGATTTGTATGAGTTAGATTAAATATTGAAATGTTGCAGTAGAGCAGAGGTCCCCAAAATTTTTTGTCTCGTAGACCACTTGCCATATTTTTCGGTTTTGGATAGACCCCCCTGCTTACCTGATATTAATTTTTTTTCCGCTGACATGGACCCTTTGCAAGTTGTCGTCGACCCCTGGGGGTCGATATAGACCACTTTGGGAATCTCTGCAGTAGAGTATGAACCTTCACAATGATTTTGCATTACAGTTGTGAACATTTTATTGTGATTTAAAATTGCTTTGACAATTTTGCTTTGAATCTATTTATGGTCCAAATTTTTAGGGGGGAAAAAAGGTATATAATTTAAATTGTAAAGCAAACCAAATAAAAGCAATTCAATGTGTCATGAACACATTCATTATATTTTCACAATTAAAAATATAGTTTAATTAATATTATCATGGAATTATGTCTCTCCTCTTAGGAATAATCATGGTTTCATTTAAATTGAACCTTACTAGACCCAGGGACCACTAAATTTGATTACATTTCCTGAGGTATTTTCATCTATTCATTAAAAGGCTATATAATAAAGTTCCATTTTTATTATCAATAAGTAGAGTGTCAAAAATGTTTTTAAAATCCAGCTACAGTATATATTCATTAATAAGTCTTTTTGTTCATAAACCGACCTCGATCAGTTTAGGCCAGGATAACCATGAAAAGGGTGTAACTTGCTTATAATCCAACCCCATAAAATAATATGCCAGTACAAGCAATAGAGTACTAAAGAAAAAAAATGTTTAATCCAAACTCTCAAAAATAATTATTGTAAAAGTAAAAAGACTTGAATAAACTGTAAAATGAATAAACATAGAGTCTTATGTATAGCACATACTACTTTGATATATATGGTAACCAAACTGTACATTTTCAAAAATAGGACCTATTTTCTACAATAAAAATTTGCAAAATGAGGACAAAACATGTCATCCAATTTGGCACATGGCCGATTTTGCACACAGCTTTATGTAGCATGTGTTCATTACTTTTTTCTTCATTGTTTTCTTTAATAGAATCAATTTACCTGGAGAAACTTATAAAAATCTCCTATGATCAGCTCATAAGTCAACCACCCCACTTGTTCCCCTGAAATATTTTTTAAAAAGTTTGGTTTATGAACCAGTATATCACTAGTTTTAAAATTAGGTCAATTGGCATGACTCAATCATCTGTATGTTTCTATTATGTCATTAGGTGTTATCAGATGTATGTAGATTTTTTTATGAAGAAGATGATGTTCAAATATGTCTTAATATGTTAAACTCACGACACTTCTTTACTTTTTAAAAAAAAATTGTATTTATGTGTTAATGATGATTTTACAATTCTATTGCCATATGAATATTTTTTTTAACAATTGTATACTTTAATATTTTGTCAAATTTGCCTATGACTTTTAACATATTAAAACTTTTTTGGGGTTGGTTTATGTAAAAAATGGTATTGAGATATTAATTTTAATTATATATGTAAAAAGTTAGAAGAATATTCAAATGTGTTTATTATACTTTTAAAAGCAAACAGAAATTATCTGTAATTATTTTATTTTGTTATAATGCTCGTCTTAACAGCTTTAATTTATGTGATGATTTTATTTTACAAAAGGTTGTTTCTTTTTATTAAGATCTCTTCAAATGTTGTTAAAATTGTAATGCTACTAGCTTAAATCCTCAGATATTTGTTTGGGTCATTCTATTTATTGTTAAAGCTGTCCTGATGAGATGGTGCCCGAATTTCCAGGGAAACGTCTCCAAAGTGATCTTTCATGATGCAATAATAATATGACCATGAAGTGTCATACTTCAGGTTTTTGTCTTTTAATAATAGAAATAGAAAATGTTCTTGAAATTTGAAATGGCTTTCAAAGATTTTCTGAGACTTTATTTATGTTTTCAATTTATCTGTTAAATATTATTTATAATTGGAATTATTGTTATGCTCGTTCCATTATAATAATTAAAAATTATATACATAACCAGAAAAAAAAGATGCTAATAAATAATCAAGCCAGAAGCCATACATAAAACAAAGAGGAAATTTATTATTCTCTGCTTTCCCCCCCCTCCCCCATTTTTTAAATTTTAAAATTTTGTTTGATAGGTCTAAAACACTGTCTACCTCTGTAAACTAAATTAAGGTTTTGATTTCCCTATTTTTTTTTGATTGTCGCAAATATTACAAGGCATTCTGATTCTTGATGGCATTGTTTTGCCATCTGCTTTCATCTGCTTCCGGAGATGGTTTGGTTCAATTTGACTATTCTACTGAAATGAAAGGCTTTTTAAAAAATATAAGCTAATAATAGAACACTGACCTTCAAACAGCACCAGGAAAACATTTAAATTAGTTCTCTTTATGATCAGAACTGATTTGAGTATGAATTCATTTTATTTTTTAATACATTTTATATTTACTCTAATGATTATTCTAAATGAATCAAAATTCTTTCTGTTAAATTTATTTTTACTTTTTTACTGATAGTCTAACTCAAAATGTGTTATTGTTTTATTGGTTTTTTTCAAAAAATTAACAAAATAAATATGGGTCAATCTATGTTTTTGTGGTAGTTAAATTTGTTTTCAAATTTGAACAATACCATAATGTTATTGGTCAAATTGATATGTTAAGAAGAAACAAAAATATTGTTATTACCGATAGTCTAAGGCCTTAAGAATTATCATTATATCAAAACTATTTAACTGTTTTTTTATAAGTGTGAAGATGGGTGGGGGTGCCTGAGCCTTAATTGGCAGGTCAGGCCGTTAGTTAGTGTGTAATCAGCAAAATGTGTACAACAATATAATGATTAGAGACTTTATGAAAACACAAAGTATTATCATGACGACAACCACGCGAAACATTGGGATGATATTTTTATAGCCTTAATAGCTTAAATTAAAATGACAATTGGCTCTACTAGAGCCACAATAATTATTGTAGGTATATCTTCTAGGTTGTAATTATATTATAAAAGCAAATGGCACTCAAGGGTCTAATTTGCATGAATGTTGTCCCCCCTCCCATCTAAATTTTCGGCTACCACAGTACTTTAAAAAACATTCTAAAGAAATTTAAATTACTTTTAAATTAAAATGGTAAAAGCCAAAGTATTCATTAGATCAGACGTTTATTTATTTATATTCAAGATGATCTCATTGTTTATAAAAACAATTTAAATATTGATACTTTCCCCCATCATTTTCGATGTATGCAGAAAGTATGCGTGATCGCCTTTCAATATATCTAAATATTTCGGCTTCGGCCGAAAGTCTCGTTAAGCTTTTGGTTTTGGTTTCGGCCGATCGACCGAAAGTCATTTTTAACTTTCGGCCTAGTTTCGGTTGAAATCAGAAAATCACTTTCGGTCGTTCTCTAATGGTTATATTGTTGTACACATTTTGCTCCGGAAAGGGGGGGGGGGCAGTGCCCCTTGGAGAGATGGCTGAAAGAAACTGTGTTGAAATGCACAGGTTATGTAAGTTACTTGTTTAGAAATCCAGTTTTTGAAGATATTCATGTGCAGAGCCTTCTATACAGCTGTACACCAGGGACATACATTTGTGGTCAATGCACTAACACACAGGAAGCCAGTGGAGATCTTTAAGATCAGATTTCAGGTATGAAGACAAGTTATTTAAGAAGTAATAGTGAACGCTCTAATGAGTAATGAGGTTATATGAGAACGTTCAGTCTGACTGTCAGTTTTGAGACAGATGATAAAAACTTCATCTTCATGTCGACGAGTTGAAAAATCTAAATAATAATAATATATGCTTTTCGTACTTCTTCGTTATAAATGATAAACCAAATGATATTATATTTAAAATATAACAATAATAAAATAATTGTACAAGTTTTATAAACGCTTAAAAGTAGAAGTAAAGTACAAGAGTTTAGACAGTTCAGGGAATTTGTGGAATAAATTTAAGCCAATGAAATGCTGTATTGAATTTACCGCGAGACAAATATTGATGCCATGTTTCCTAGTAACGTTCCTATACGTCAGTACTTCCTGTTATCAAGGTAAGCTTTGAAACGGCACGGTATTTGATTTTAATTACTACATACGAACTAAATTATTTAGTTCATTAATTATTATAAAAAGGTTTAGTTGAAATAAAATATTGGTGACCACCCTCCCTCCTTGTTATATGTTAGGAAGGTTACTAATATTTTATGCAAAGTTTTAAATAAAAACATTTTTCATCATGCTTACGACATGAACTCATGAACTTACTTATTTATATTAGTCTTTAGTGTTAGAAAGTGTCTATTGGCAGTTTAGTGCCAATAGTTAATAGCTTCTAGTTAAGGCAGGGAAATATTTGTAGTAAACTACCAATAGGTTCTAGAGAGCTATTGGTAGTCCAACAATAAAATCAAACAAAATCAGAGCTTTAAAAACCCGCTATCAATGACGCTAGCGAAGTATTGAATAATTTAATAATTTTTTTATTGCTTGGTTCATTTATTACTAATTCATACTAGTGATAACACTTCGGTTTCGGAACTCATTATAAAGTCTACAGTACAGTTTTAATGCTGCTGCTGTAGCCTTCCTCATGCTCAGATTTGGCTATGACTATATAATTACAATTTATGATATAGACCTAACATTATAGATAGAAGATGTATGGGCTATTTATCATTATAAGTATAAGTGGTTTTATATAGTGTGATGCCCCAGCCTAGGGCTGGGCTCACCAAGCTGTACATACAATGTAAAAAACATAACCATGAACTTAAAATTTAATTAACATACATTAATGAAATAAAACAAAAGTATATTTAAAACTATTTACATGTATTGTGAAGCAATGGACGACACCCAGCAGCAGCATTTTTCGGTCAGAGGGGGGAATCAGTCAGGATAGTAGATTTTAAAAAGATGTGTTTTGAGTGCAGTTTTGAGGGCTGTGCAGTAAAAATAAAATCCAACGTAGGCCTACATACTTTAGAGTGATTTCAGGGATGTAATTAAAAATAAATTGTGACTACCAATATCTTTAGACTTAGTCAATACTGCACTAATCAATCTATCACCAATTGATAGTTTTTTATATTTAACTACCAATAGCCACCTAGAAGCTATTGGTTTTTTACTACAAATAGCTCCCTAGAACTAGAAGCAATTGGTAGTTTACTACCAATAGCCACAGCCAAATTATTAATTAAGTCTAAGTAAGACAGGGCACCTAGACGTTACATAATTTTAAATGTACTGGTCCTGTCTTTTCATTTCAAGCCTTAACATACTTAACATTACATTTACATAACTTTTATTTTAATCGTTGGTAACTTAAGTAACTAGGCATAAATAAAATAATTAATCTCATTATTTTGCTCTACTAGTCTTACAGTTTAAAAAAAAATATTAGATTTAGATGCATTATAATTATTATCTAATTTGGACCATGGTATAATAAAATAAAGATAACTGAGTTAATAAATATCTGTGCAGTTTTTGAGACGATTGTCATGTCATATCAGCTGAATATCAATAATTATTTTTGGGGTTATTAATTGACAATATGAAAGGGGCAAATATATAAAGTTAATTATAATAAAAGATGCCAATGCCCCTTCATTATAATTATATTTTTTACCATAAACTTTATTCAGTAATGCTAATGGCGACATCTGTTAAAATGCCCTCCCCTCTTCAACCCAAATCCATGACCAGACCAACCCAGTGGAATGAGGAGGTTGAAGAAGCTTACAGGTTTCAGTTGGCTGGATACAGGGATGAAATTGAATATAAAGAAGTCAGACAAACTGAGCATGTGAGTAATAAAAAATGATAGCCATTCAATTTTAAGTAAAATAATAATTCACAAAGTATAATTATAATTTGTTTAATCTACACTAAACACAACAAATTTTAATGGAAAAACTGGTTTTATCAACGCTTTTAGATGAAACAAACTGTCATTTTGTTCTATTTTTGAAAAAGTAAAAAACTGTTTACCCTAGATTTGAAACAGTAATTGGCAACTATATTATTAATATTATTATTGTGTATAAATGGATACAAATTTGTTATTTCTCATACAAATTTCTTTCACAATGCACATTTGTACTGTTTAAAAACTTGTTTTCTATAGACTTGCATATATCATCACAGAGGTTTTTGCAAATCATTAGGCTTGTAGAGCAACTTTCTAATTTAGTTTTAATCCAATGCTGAAGCTGATTTTTAAACCTTTGGCTAAGACAAGTGTTATCTTTTTAACTACTAACATTTTGTATATATCCAATATATTTTTTACTGTACCATTAACCAAGTAATTTCATCTTTAGTTTTACAAAATGAAGAATAAAAAAAATTCTAAATGCATGCATTTTCCCCCCTATCTTTGGAGTTTTTGTTGGCCTATGGACATGGCCTGCTTTTGGCTTAATTTGATGATACTAGAATTATTTTAATATTTAAACATGGATTGACATTGTAATGATTGGGTGCCTTTGTCTTTTCAAATAAGTAGCAAACTCTTGAAAGAGGTTGTTTTCCATATTATATTCTCTTTATAATTCAAAACCTTATTTTCTTTTATGGTGTATAGGTTGACAGATGGCCACATAATGGATTTATAAAGAAACTGGTACGTCGAGATGGATGCTTTTACTACTACGATAAAACTCGTGAATGTCCAGACAAGCAAATAAACAAAACAAAACTTTACGCATATTAATTTTGTGCAAGCCAATCTAAGTCAACCACTTTGAGAAATATTTTGATTCACTCGAGTTTGGGATTTTCCAGCACTGTAAATAAAGATGTTCATGCTTGTAGCAATGGCAGCATGCCTGTTTGCATATTATTTTATTTTTTGTCATGAAGCTCTTATTGCAGTACTAATAACATTCTTAAAACTATTTACCAACATTGACCTTTCACAATTTGAAATGGTTTACAATGCATCAAATTTTTATTTATGATCTGAAAAATCATGATTATATTAGACAATTTGCCTTCCAAATGTCCTATGTTGGAAAAAGAAGTTTCTAAAAATGGAATGTATAAAATATCTGCCAATTAAAGCGAGAAATCTTTTAACAATTTTAAAAAGAGTTTCAGTTTTAAGTGTGACAACTTTTTACTGTCCACATCTTCAACATTCTATTTTACTTTAAACACTAACGCTGTATATTGCTGTCACGTCTCTAATTAGTAGTTGTTAAGAATTTAAAAAATTGATTATAGAGGTTAGCAATTTTTCTCGCATGGGCTGTCAGCCAAAAAAATGCCTGTAGGATTTTTAGTTTGATACATAAATTATCCACCTTTTGTAATTCAAAATGCCTTCTATGGCTGCAATCTGTCTTATTTTAATATGTATCTATATTTTTAATTCAAAGACTTAAATACATTATTTTTTGGGGACAAAAACATAAACCTGATGATGAAGCCATCATGAAGTCATGATATCAGCTTTTCATGGTTTATGAAGTAAGAGCTGTACATAATTAATGCAAATTTTCTTAAATAAAATGCTTTTATTTATTACATTCATTGAATAAAAAAAATATGAATGTTTGTCATCTGTGGTTTGTTCTTTTTTTATTTGTTTAACTATCAACAATTCTGATTACATTACCTCTGAATGTTTCTACTCTATACTGGTAAACTAGGAGCATTAATCTCAGCAATGAATAATAATTTTAAAAAATAAAATAGAAACATGACTGGCATATCAATTTCCTTTTTAAAGAAACTTGCTCAGCTTATTTTGATTTTGAAATAAGCTCATGACCTGTACTAGAATCTATGTGGAAATAATGCTAATCAAAGAGACTGCTGTAAGAGAGCTGCACTTAGTCAAATGTTTTCCAAATCTAGTGATATGCTTTCAACTTTTCCAAAACACATGGCCAAATGGAATATATTTCTATGATTTTTGCTTGAACTTAACAGTGAAACTTAAAATATCTTCATTAGAAATAGAGCACACATAAAGAATTTTAAGTCAAATTTGTTTCTAGAAAAAGTGCTTTTAATACTGTTTTACCACAGTACTGCTGATAATCACTTAAGATGAATTGATGTTAGATAATAGGGTGAGAAAAAAACAACAACATTAGGACTGAAACAATGTAAACCAAAATCTGAATTCTTAAGAAAAATGATAAAGAATTGCATTAATATTCCTTTATTTGTTAAATTATATACAGACAGTCTCATTATGTATATTCTTAAATGTAGAACTAAAGTATAGTGTTGGTTATTTGCTTCTAAAAAGCCTAAAAAAAAACAAAAAACCATGTCACATTAATTCATTAAAGTCAAATTTGAAACAGCTTTTTATTTATTTTTTTATATTAAAAAAAAAGCAAAATAAAATAAAAGTTTACATTTCATTTACCAATGGGTAGAGGTTACTTACTTTAACACTTTAAATTGTCTACAAAATTGAACATTCACTAATTATTATTTCTTCCATTCATACCAAATTAGAAATTTGTATAGAACAATTTGACACTGCAATGCACAACCAAATCTTTAAATCATACTTAATGTGAATTATAATAAATTATTTGCCATTTAAAAAACAAAAACTATCTGTTTCACATCCAGCACATTTTTAAGGTGCATGCAGATCAATTGTACCCTTTGAGCAACTAGAATAATCCAACCTAAGTACCTTTACTGATACCAAAGATTTGAGATGGTTCTCCTCTGAAACTTAATGTAGAAGTGTGTAGGTCAAGGCCAAAGTAGAAACAACTATTCTCTAGTAGATTAGGATTTAGAATTATTATTATTCAAAGTAGAACTAATTATAATAAACCAAAACTTTTACCTAATACATAATAAATGTATGGTCATGGTGCCAAAAAGTATATCAAATTAAACATTCTGACAAGTTTTTTTGTTTGAAAACTAAAAATAGCTAGTTTGATTAATTTATGAGAGACTCCATGCCCTGCAATTATAGCATCCAGATGAAAATGTATAATTCATAAAATTGGATTGAAATTCAACAAAAAAAATTCTATGATTTAATCGCAAGTTACAATAAGCTTGAGTGTAATTTTTTTCTATACAAAATTACCACACAGTTAACAAAAACATTTGCTCATTTAGAAGAAGTAATGTCTGGTACAGTGTAATCTCATATATTATGTCATTTAATATTTAGGGACTTTCTGACAGCCGTGAGAATGTTTTTAACTTGAGGTAGAGCAAGATCCTCCAAAGATTTCGCATACGGCATAGGTACATCTGCTCCCGTTACTCTAAGGACAGGTGCGTCAAGGTAGTTAAATGCTGCGCCTGCAAACAAAAGAAATTATGATAATATAGATTATCTGAAATATTTAAGTAAAACCTTTAATTAGAGTTAAAAAAAGAAACAATAGGGGAAGAGGTGAATGTCTGCAAATTAAAAAATAACATTTAAGTCCAAGAACCACTTTGCAAGATACTTATGGATTATTACTTTGCATATACAGTTTTGGACCATATGTTGCTGTCATAGTGGATAAAATTGGAAGTAGGCTTGTTAATAACTAATGTCCTATTTAATTTTTGCAAGGTTTTTTTCACTATTAACACCAGTTAAGCATAATTTTAATACAATACAGACTAAGCTGAAAGAAAATTCAGTAAAGCCATTAATTCTGAATGATGTCCCCTTGTTTCAAAGCACAATCATCCCCCATCACATTTTAAAAAAAATTGCTACGCAAATCATGGGGCATAATAAAATATTAACTTGCAAAGAAAATGAATAATTATAATTGCAGTTTTTAAAAGCATACTTTTATATTTTTGTAATTTATAATTATGAAACTTCAGTTAGTTCTTCAAAATAACAAACAAATTTTATTTCACTGAAACTGTCTTTTAATTTGCTAGTGACAACATAATTTTTTTAATGATAGTGAATAAAAGAATATTACAATATGTTTAAATGATCAAAATGTAAAAGACACTCACTTTCCATTACACGAGCCACAATCTCTGAGCCAATACCACATTGTGGCCAGCCACCTTCTACAGTCACAAGATGGTTTGTTTTAATCACAGATTTAATAATAGTTTCCTCATCTAGAGGTCGCAGAGTTCTTAAATTGATTACCTGCAATAAGTATACATATATTGGTAAGATAAAAGAAAATGGCATGAAAAAATAAATACTACTCCTGTTATTCCAAGTAATGTAAATAAGTAGAGAAAATGCAGGAGTCAACAAGACGTGTAATCCATTGTAGAAATCATTGACATGATAGGACCAACAACAAACTTAGTATGGTACAACCAATCAAATACAAACCCAACAGGTCAGAGCTGAAAAAGGCATTTTTCAAATGGAAAATAAATAACTAAGGTGTATTTTCTATGTACTTAAGGCATTTTTATTGATAAAGATGCTAACAATTTTTCTTTCCAAAATGTCTAGTAAAAAAATAGTGTTTACATTTGTAGAAATATAGTGAATGCTGCCTCACCTCACATTCAATTCCTTTACCAGCTAACTCATTTGCTGCTTCAAGACATGTACCAACAGATTTTGAATGTGCTACTAAAGTTATATGCTTTCCTGAAACAAATATTTAATTTCTCATTTTTGACAAACAGTAATTCAACAAAGAGTAAAATGAATGACATTTTTTAAAATGCCTTATATCTTCTGACACAAAATAAATCAATTTACAATTGTTTTGTAGTATTAAATTTTTAAAAGGTATTTATCTGCTTTAAAAGTTTATGTGTTGTTCTTTCTTAAAATTTAACTAAACAATTTCAATATTTTATACCAGTAAGAAGCAACTCAAACACTGATAGTGTTTTCAGAAAAGGGTTCAACAAACTTTAAAATAAATGGTAAAATACTTAGTTTTTCTTGTAAAAATATATATATTGATTTTCCTATTAATTATAATGCTGTTAGATATTATCTCCTAAACAAGAGTTAGCAAAACTAATTTTTGATCATTGAATAAATGAGTATTCTTAACATTCATTGCTATAGCCTAGATTATTTTAACATATTCTCGTTCAAAGTTGGGGGTTGGTAGCTTAAAAACAGAGTGTTTACCTTGTCTTTCAATTTTAGCTTTTCCAATTGGGAGAAGAAAATCCTTAGACATGGCTTCATCAGACATATCCATGGAAATACCATACATCAATTCATTTTCAAGGAAGACGACTGTAAAGATAGATGAGGACAAAAATCATACTGTTGAAAAAATTCTTAGCATAAAAAAATGTGAAAAATTATTTTTAAACAATCTCTAAGATAATACGGAAGTTTATCTGAACGTACCTGGATTTGGGTCTCGAATAGCAGATTTAAGCAATCCCTTACAGTCTTCAGCTGAGTAAGGAGATATCACTTTTAGTCCAGGAACTTGACTGTACCATGAACCAAAGCACTGAGAATGTTGAGCTCCCACACCTGCTGCTGCCCCATTAGGACCTCTGAATACAATGGGAACGGGAACCTGGACGATACGTAAAAATCTCTGATTTAACTACTGACAATTAATTTAATTGGGCTTTCACAAATATTTCATATACAGTTTTATATTTTGAAGATCTGGCTGAATTTTTTAAAGATCACAAGTAAAACATTGTGGAAGCTAAATATAAAACTTAAAAAAAAAAATATTTACCCTTCCTGCCGACATGTAAAATGTTTTGGCTGCTGAGTTGATAACCTGGTCTATGGCTTGCATAGAAAAGTTGAAGGTCATAAACTCACAAATAGGTCGAAGGCCAGCCTAAATTAGAATGGCACAGGATTGAGTGTTCCAAGCTACATAAGGTTGGCTTATAAAATTATTACTTAAGCCTCTAAAAATATTACATTTTTTATTCTGAACAAGAGTATTTTAAAATACATAAAACCTTAAATACTTACCATTGCTGCACCAACAGCAATGCCAGCAAACCCCATCTGTACAAATGAGAATCAACATTAAATCAGGTAAAGATATAAACTTTTAAAGAAAACAAACTTAAAGCCAAGAGAATTTTTTTTAAAAGTTTCTTGCCCCACCTTTTCAGTCTTGCTGAAAAGGAAACCATGAAAGTGATTACTCATATAGCGGAAAACATCTAGCATTTTTAAAAATGTTGGTTATTTATTATCTTTGTTAAATTCCTGCTTCAGAAACTTAATGAATTAAATATTTGTTTCAGGAAAGCCTAAAACTTTAATGGCACATTCAAAACCTGATAAAATTTTTTTCATGAATGTTAGAATTAAGATATGTTAAGATCAAATGAAGCTATTTAAATCTGTCTCAAGTTAAATTACCTCTGTGATTGGTGTATCAATAATTCTTTTTTCCCCATGTTTTGCCAAGAGTCCTTTTGACACCTGCAAACATTTACATTTATTTTACACCTGACAGAAGTACATTGTATCTTTAAATGAAGAATTATGAAATAAAAAAAAATATAAATTGTACTTTGTTTGATAATTACCCCTTTGGCAATAATATGCATACTTTACTTTAAAAAAGCTGTTGATATTAATAATTAACTATTTTAAATAAGTAAACTGAGCTGTAAAAATTCTACCTTATAAGCACCATCATATTGGGCTACTTCCTCTCCCATTAAGAGAACTGTTTCATCCCTCGTTAGTTCCTCATCTAAGGCAGCATTTAAGGCATCTCTCACTGTTAACTAAATGAGATTGAGGTTTATTTTTCATTAAAACAAGAATAGTTCATTACCAACAATTACATTTGCACAGTGACACATGTAAATTTTAATTAAATAAAGTGTGTCACCAACTATGAATGATAAAATATAAAAAATGGGTCATAAAATATCTCTCTAGTTTTAATGTAAGTAATCTAAAGATTTATCTAAACAGGATTAACACTTACTAATTAGCTATTAATTACTAAAGCTGGCAGAGTATTTAATAAAGATTAAGGAGACACAATTAAATAAAGGCCACAATAGAAAAATAATAAATAAATGCAAAGTAAGTGGAGGAGTACTATATAAATTGAAATACACAAATCTTAACATTACAGAAATTTTAAATAAAGTAACAAAGCGAATCCAACTGCAAGACACATAAAAACAATAAAACCTAAGTTAAAGATTAGCTGAAGGTTAGAATCTGTAGGATAGGAGCTTACTTTTGTTAGTAATATCCCCTTTGTGTGAATTTTGTTATTTTTGTATCCATTTAGGCCATAGTAATAGCATACAAGAAAATGGGTCTAAACAAATAAATGACATAGGCCAGGCCTATGAGGAATTATAAAAATAAAAAACTTTCCATGTAATAATGTAACTAACCCTTCCAGATATATTCACTAAATAAAATTCCAAATACCTTTGCTAAATGAGATTCCTAAAAATACTGCAAGTGCGTTCAAAATAAAATATTGCGCACATATTTTTTACTATTTCCATAAAACAAAAGATATGACCAAAATATTATGGAATCAGACTCAATTTAAATATGGTGTCATAAATCCACTGTATAAAATTGTGTGGGGTATTAGACTATTAACATAGTTCAGGGTCATGAAAAAAGTGTATGGTTGTGAACCTTCGGGGAAGGCACTAATTGGGATTCTTATAAAGGAGTGCGTTACTTGAATTCATGTTTTGTCCTGTAACTTTAGTAGATGGGAAGTTCACACATTGTGGCCGCTTTTGTTTGCTGGGCTATATCTAGTTAGTTTGAGTAGCTCAGAACCCTCCGCATTTACCTGATTTACCATGCCATAAGTAACTATTTTAATCTAATTAATTTAAGTCGGTTTTGGTAAGATGAAAAACACTCTAAGCATAATATTTAATGGGTAGAGCGCAAAGTTCCCTAAACATAATACAGGATGGGTCAGCACAATGTTTCATTCCCCACATAAGCCTAAATCGGGGTAAATGTAGCCTTAGATGATTTAGCAACAAGAAAAAAAAAATTCAGTTGTATAGAAAACACACTTAAATTAAAAAATGAAAACATCAACTAACTCAGTAGTTTTTCAGCTATCAATTTTTTCTTAAAATACAAGATTAATTCTATTTTTTATAGTTTATGTAGGTTGGAGTGCATAACCTCATTCTGTGGACCTATTCTGTTTTTACATACTAATGCTACTTTATTACATAATTAATAACATTATTTTTAATACTTGTTAATTGATGCTTTTGTTATAAAATATTTAAATTGCACACTTTATTCCGTGAAATAATGGGTTCATGTACAATAATTTACAAGTAACAATAGCTTAAAGGTCAAGAGAATAATCCAAGTAACTCAATGGTAATTGGTAAAAATATTAACCAACGAACATTTGTTAATCAGTTTTTTCACCTGGTCATTTTACATGCATGTACATATGACCTTATTTAAACATAGGGCCTGGGGGAAATTTGAGCGCATCAAATCAACTTTATTACGTCTCTCGTATATGAGGGAAGATGCGCGGAAGACCTGCCTCATGTAGTCGCAGTTTCAGGTTTGTTTACTCATATGTTATTAATTATTTTTTAAAGAGCAAGTTGTTATCAAATAACAATGGTGTGTTGTCTGCAAAAGCGGGGAAACAGGAAGAGTCCATTTATTGTGCATAGGCATTGCTACAACAGATTGAGCCCTTAGAAACCCTAATTTTTCCTATTCCTAGAGTTTAAATCGCACCACCCAGTCACTTTGATTAATCAAATGCCCATTAGACTAGGCCGGTAATCTCTTATAGCTACATCCATGTTCCATAGATAGAAATTTTAAGTGTTTTTTCCTTTCATAGTTAACTTTGTTATTATAAATGACATTTTTTCCATGATGAAAATGATTTTATAAGTCAGATATCGTCTTTTTTGTCCCAAAACCAAAACTTAATGCCCAAATGCCTACTTCTTAGAATAATCACTAACACAGTTTAAATATTTTAATGAGTTTACCAGACCAATATTCAATACAATAATTTACCAGACAACACCAGCCACCTTGCCTTTTTGAAATTTATTTAGGACTTTATATTAGATACTTCGATGAAACAAGGGAGACTACTATTTTTTTTGTATCGGAAATGGCTGTCGGCGCCGAAAAATCCGAGTTTTTAATTTTCCGATGTGTGTGTCTATTTATAATTAAATTAGTTCTTTCCACATATATTTGAGTTCGGTTTCCGGCCTTATAATTTGGAAGACATCTTGGCCTACATTTCTAGCCAGCTATTTTGATTTTTTCAATCGACCTTTATTTTGAAAATCTTTGGTAGATATAAGGCATCTTCGCATACAAAATTTTTTGTGAAATAATAAGATAAGGTCCTTTTTGATTAAATCTGTATGAGCATTAGATATTGATCTATATCTGTGCCAAGTTTCATTGATGTAGGTCGTGTCTCACGTTTGTTACACTTGTCACAGTGACCCATATCACCATAAGGTGGCTCAGCCTAATTTCGACATGGCGTGGGCCACGCCCCCTTTTTAATGGCGGAAGTTGCCGATACTTAGGAAATATTTAATTATTACCACTATATACATCAAAATATTTTATATTTTGTGTTTCAGAATGCATTTTGAAGACATTTAAACTGGAAATGTTTTAATTTGAGCTTTAAAAACCCTGCAGAGTCCATATTATAAATGATCAGAATTTTCCCTGTGCAACACGTTGTCATTGGCAACCATTCACAGCCACTTGCATAACGGCTACGTCGTAGTACTATCTCAGAGTTTCATTCATAAGAGTTTGCCGTGTGCAAAAGCTATTAAACCATTGGTCAGGGAAAGCTTTTATTAATTATTCATGTGCCAAAGTTGAAAGTTTAAAATAAGTCGACCCTAAACAGTATTTTAGTGATAGGGAATGCGTTGCCTTATATAAACTATATAGTCATTGCGCATGACGCGATCAGTGGAATGAGGTCACAGAATGTGGAGATGAAGTCCATGTTAAAAAATGACAAACCAAGTCGTACTTTAAAAATTCATAACTTTAAAACTACAACAGCTAAAAATATGATTTTGGTGTTATAATTCTGTTTAAAATTAGCTCTATTCAACTGTGCCATTGGTTTATTTTTAAAAAATGTTTACATTTTTTACCAAAGTATCTACTTTATATTGAATTGAATTTATTGATCTAAAAAAGTAAAGCTTACAAGTATGCCTACACATTATATAAGTCAGTCAAATTAGTGGACTTTGTTATTACTGTCAGCTTACTTAGACACTAATTAGTAATTTAAGTAACAATTAAGTTTTAAGCTTAGAACTAGTCTAGAAAATAGAATAGACATAGACTATAGACTATAGACAAAATAGACTCATCATAGACGTAATTTTTAAAAAAACTTACTTGCTGAGCGCATCTATGAGATGATGTGGTAAGAAGTCTGGTAGTGTTACCTAGTGCCTTGGCATGCCTCTGTGAAAGATAATGACCGTATCAATAATTTTATCTCCATGTTTACTGCAACTTACAATAAAACAAATTAAATCACTACTTACTGCAACTGTGCTTATACGGCAGCAGAATGTCGCCATTTTCATAGAGGGCAAAAGCAATTATATATCGAACTGTTGTGTGAATAGACAACTAGCAACAAGGTGAATGTTTAACAGGTGAATATAGCATCGAAGTGCTGTGAACTTATGATAAATGATTTACTAAAATTATTATTTATTGCTGTATTTTATTATGCTTTTAAATGAGCAGTTGACCCAATTTTATAATAAGTTTATGTTATTTAATTTTTTTTTTTTAAATTGGGCCCTGATAGAATTTTATTGATGAAAATAATGGTTTTCAGAGTTATAACAAAATTGGGGGGAGTAAAAATAAATTTTGTACCCGGACTAAAAACATTCTAGCTATGCCTATAAGGGGAGAGACTGCAATCAGGTTAGTACAAAATAAAATGAGTAAAACAGAGTAGGGTTAAACCTGAAAAAATAAACGCAACAAAACAGCAAACGTGTCGGCAGAAAGCCTTCGTCAGCGAACAAAACAACAGAAAAAACGGTATAAAAATAAGAAATAGCACTTAGCTGGTAAGTAGTATCTGTGGGAAGCAATATGTTTTATAGGTTGTCCTGTTTTTAATTACTAATAAATAATTATTAGAGATAATAACATTTCATTGCCAATAGAAAGTAATTTTTTGGTAATTGTGTTAGGAATGAGGGTAACCACTTTAAAACTAAGCTGTACAGATACAAGTTGAATATTGATATTTCATAAAAAGCTATTACTATTACAGATTTAGCGCTGTCATAAAAAAAAATTATTAAGGCTAATTAAGGCGAATTTCATATGTTTAACTCAGTAAATCCTACCAAAAATTACGTCCTCTCTTGAAACTAAAAAACCAAATCGTAAAACAAGTCAGAGGAAAATCTATTTAAAAAACAACAACCTAGGTTTTCAATATCTTTTTCATTTTATTTATAGGCGATTTTTGTGGTTCGGCGTCGGGACGTGACCCACTATCTGGAAAAAGCTATTTTATAAGATTACACCGAGACCAAATGTTCAATATATGTTTTAGCTGTTGTTCAGTGGAAAAAAAACTATTTGAACAAATAGTGTGCTTTACACAATTCTCGCGAGGCTTGTGTATCCACGTTAATAGTCCTCTGAATTTGTTGCACTTGCCGTCACCGGTAGGAAGGGCATTGGTGTCAAAGACAAAGACTGTGATACGTATGTTTCTTGGTTTTTTTTAAAAATGAAAATAATTTTTAGGTGTATATGTAATGTCTAATTAATTTCATCAACTTATTATTAAATTTCATTTATGACTTCAGATTTAAAATGTCGAACACACTAGCATCAGCTTTCCGAAACAATGCTTTCGCCAATCCATTCTTCACTAATGCCAAGTGTGAAAGCAATGTTAGCCCCACAAGAACAATTGCTGCTGCTGCAGGAGCAGATTCAGGTAAAATATAAGTGGCATGTTGTATAAATATATTATATAATAATTAGGATGATTAAGATAATAAGGATTTTCAAATTAGCTTATGTTTAGCTTTAAACTTTAAGCACATCTCATCTCATGAATTATGGTCATGATCCTGAAGTGGAGACAGGCTGACAGGTCTTCCAGTTCTGGTCAGTCACGAGTCACTACATGTAGGAGCCACTTAGATTCCAATTATTTTTAGTGGCTTTTATTGCTTTGTATTTGGTTCCTTCTGAACATAGTAGTTTTCTGAAGTTTGTTTTTCATAGATTTTAACAATTGAATCCCTTCAGTGTCATTGAAAAATATTGTACTTCAAACTGCAAGGTCATTAAATTAAGAATTATTTTATTTGCTCTTGTCTTACTTACTAGTAATAACTAGTAAGACTGCTGCTGTTAACAATTAACAGTTCTGATTGCCTAAAAGTGATTAAGTCAAAATTTTAATCGTTCAGTCTAGCCTATAATTATAAATTATTCTTTCATATTAAAGTTCAAACAGCCTTAAAAGTTATAAGCCTTTATCACATTTTCACATACAGTGCTTTTTAAACTAATTGTAATAGCTGTGTAGTCTCTATTTACAATGTACCCCTTTAACATTGATTTCATTAAATGGCCCATTACTCGTTACTCAAGGCTGATCATTGATATCGAGATGCATTCATTTTGTTGTCTTTTTATTTTATACCATTAAAATCACCAGGAGGTTACAAAGAATGCACAATATATTAAAATTTCATTTAATAACATTCAATTGAAATAAAATACTAAATTTGCAAAAGTGAATTATGATATTTCAAATTTCTCAGAAAACAGCTGTGAGTTTGGCTCAGCAAAGTACTATGCATTGTGTGGATTTGGTGGTCTTTTGAGTTGTGGAATCACACACACAGCTGTGGTTCCTCTTGATATGGTAAAATGTAGAATCCAAGTCAACCCTGGTAAGTATGGAGGAATTGTCAAGGGCTTTAAGGTGACAATCGCTGAAGAAGGAACAAGAGCACTTGCCAAAGGATGGGCCCCAACCTTTTTTGGTTATTCAATGCAGGGAGTCTGCAAATTTGGATTCTATGAGGCCTTCAAAATCCTGTACACTGAACTCTTAGGAGAGGTACATTATACATTTGTCATCATTCATTAACTCTAAAATTTTATTAAAATGTAAAAATGTATTTAAAAAAACATGAATTTTCATCAGAAACGTACACTTGATATTTCATTTCCCATTAAAAATATGACATTCGTTCACAGTCTTTATTGCCATAACCCTTTGTTTAGCTGAAATCGATAATCATATTGAGATTAGGGATGGTTAAACTTTTAATATTTTTTTGGCAAACTAGTTTTTGGTTTTTACAATTAGGAATGCATGGGACAGTGTACATTTTTTGCTCTGAAATATAGACATATTTATTTGGGGGGAAAGTGGGGCAGGAGGAAGGGTGTCTTGGGTGAGTTGACACTGCATTCTAAACCTTTTATCATTCATGTCATATCCAAATATTTTATAAGACCATACCATTCACATGCCTAGGGAAAGGGGACAGAAGGTTTTATCACCTAAGGAGGCTGGAAAGGGGGTGGGGGGGTATATCAGCCCTATATGCTTTTAATAGATTATTTTTCTCTTCCCACTGCAGTTTTCATTGTGATTTTTGGGAGTGGGGGATTATTGGAGACTGCAATCTGCCAGCTCGTTAATATCCATTAACACAATAAATGCTTGAAATGAGGGGCCCTTTTTCCTTAAAAAAATTGCAGTCACCATAGGTTTTTAACCGTTAACTTCCCATTGCCTTGACACCAAAGCATCAATTTTATCTCTATTGTTTGCATTCTCTGGGAGACATACAAACTGGTCAAGCAAATCTTAAGGCAATATTTTTTTAAATTCTACTGGCTGAGACTGATAATATTTTAATTTTCACCTGATGTTGAGAATAGCAATCCAGGGGAAAGTCTTGGTAGTTGTAGCTGTGCTATCACTATAATCATCTATAGAGTAAAGTCATCAGGGCTCACATTTTCAAAAGAATCTATCTCACACACTGACTCTATTAAATCCCTAGTTCAATCTCTGATGCTCTAATCATTGTCTCCCCTTTTATCACCCTCAATTCGTGACCCGTCCATGACTTGAAAACGTTCACACTCGTTCGCACAACCCAATAGTCACAACACACACACTCTCTCTGATTTCATGACCTTGACACTTGTGCTTTAAAAAAAAATTATTTTATATGATAAATTATTTGAAAACCAGTTTGTGAAGATCATCAACCAGTTTTCAATTCGAAAACAAGAAATCTGTTTTTTTTAACACCTTAATCCAGTTTCTGTATTGATATTGATCAGAACTTGTGTGTGCACGTAATTATTATTATACATTGCTATGATAGGGCATTTTACTAGTAGTACCAGACCTAAATTAACTCTTTTTCTTTCCCCCAATTTTTGCTCATGAAGATAATCTATCTAACTTTTTCTGTTTTTTTTGTAGGATCTGATGATGTTTTTTCTAAATAGTGCAAGGTCATATTTTAAATTACCTTTCTTCATATTAATACTGACTACAATTGTCTATTTTTGTTTGAAGGAAAATTCCTACCTCTGGCGTACCAGTGTGTATCTGGCAGCCAGTGCCTCTGCAGAGTTCTTTGCCGATATTGCCCTTTGCCCAATGGAGGCAGTGAAAGTCCGTATTCAGACTCAGCCGGGATGGAGCACTACACTCAGGGAAGGTTTCCCAAGGATTATGAAAGAGGAAGGAATTTCTGGGTAGATATTATTTTATATCTGTATTGAATTTCCATTTAACAATAGTCTACCACTTGGTCTGTCATTTACAGACCTGTTTACTCTTACGATTTTGGCGTACAATTTACGATTTTGAGGTGTATACAACATAAATGCTGTGTTTATTTTTTTACTGTAAATATAAGGTATTGAACCATTTTGTGATATTGTACGATTTTAAGAGTTTGGGGGTAAACAGGTATGCATTTATTTACCATTATATTATAGAAATAGAAGCATGCAACAATTGAACAACCAACTTCATTTAACAGTTACCCTTGTTACTGGGGATCAAGCATTTTGTGTTTTATCTGGTACAATTTGCTTTCTCACATCAGAGATAAAATGCAGAAATGTAGAATGTATTATAGTTATAATTATAGCAGTATAAAAAGTTTCACACCTTATATTGATATCAAAGTAAATAGTTTTCACATCAGTTCAATTTACCTTCAAATTAAAAAATGATTGACATTTCTGACCATCATTTCTAAATAAATAATGTCATAGGTTTTACAAGGGTCTTGTGCCACTCTGGGCCCGTCAAATCCCCTACACCATGATGAAGTTTGCCTGCTTTGAACGCACTGTTGAGGCTCTCTATAAGTTTGTTGTGCCAAAACCACGTTCTGAATGCAGCAAGGGGGAACAGCTAGTTGTCACTTTCTCAGCTGGTTACATAGGTAAGTACCTGGTACTACTGTAAAAAGCTTTGAACATTTTATTCTATTCACTCAATAACCATTCCAAACTTATTTTTCATCAGTTTTTTAGATTTTAATGGAAATTCATTTTTGTCTCACAGCTGGTGTCTTCTGTGCGATTGTATCTCATCCTGCCGACACCATTGTATCAAAGCTCAACCAGGCAAAGGGCAGCAACTTCATGGATGTTGCCAAATCTCTTGGACTTCTAGGTAGAGTAGCCATTGTTTAGTTGCTATTATGTATTTGATAACACCATGGAGTAGAGCTCTAAATAAAATGAAAAGTCTGAGTTTTTATTTTCTGCTCAATTTTTTTATTTTTTTTTAGAATATATCATACAACAGCAATACATCAGTTACATATCACCTTACTAACCAGTGCAAAATGTACCTTATATTGCAGTATTTATTTTATTCTGTTTATTTAATCCCCCAAAAAATGTCTGCATTCCAGGTATGTGGAAGGGTCTCTTTCCCAGGATTATTATGATTGGTACACTCACAGCTCTGCAGTGGTTCATTTATGATTCAGTCAAAGTGGCTTTCAAACTACCCCGACCACCCCCACCAGAGATGCCAGAATCACTTAAACGCAAACTGGGATTAAATTGATAAAGTATTAGATGTGTTAGTTTGGAGGCAACAGAATACATGATTTTAGAAAGCTAAATTTCCACCGTATTAATTTAACAAGTAAATAACAATTGAATAAGAGCAATGAAAGATTCACTTGTTTCTTGGAATGGGAGAATGTTGTGTCAGAGGCGTTGGCCCATGTACTTGAAATAGTAGAAGTTGGTTTCCACCTAGAATACTAAGTAGTTGCCAGCAATGTTTGAAAAGTGTGTATTTACTGATGACTAGTGACTGCTTTAAAAAAGATCAATATATGATGAACAGTTTTTGTTCTGGAAAAGAATTTCAGTATCAATTATAATCTTATAGAAACATAATTGTAATATATTTATTTGGATTAAAAAAAATAAATAAATACTTATCACTTACCAATTTTGCAACTTATTTTGTGTACATTAGCAACTTATTTTGTTAAAGACTGTTATTAGGTTGTTTGAGTATACTATATAGTTTGGGGCTCAAGATAATAGATACATTTGGGTATGCTGTTTTGTTAAAACTAGATTACCTATATCAAGGAGGTGTATTTCTGTACATTAGTTTACAGTTGACCTATTTATGACCATACTTACTTTTTCATGAGGCATAACGGACAGAAAAATAATAAAAAATTGTTTAAATTGACAGTTCATTGTCTGTTATTATTTTCTAACAGAATGTGTCTGAGGGGGGGGGGGGGGGGTGGAACAGGAACTGGAAGAAAGGAACATAGTAAAGGGGCTTCATCCTGTTATGTGTGACTTTGAATAAATTTTATATTCTCCCTTTGCTTACAATTTTTGTTGTGGGTGCAGTAGGTGACCGCATACTATTACTACTATTAAGCAATATTTACTATTTCCTTTTATTAATTTTACCAGAAATCTTTCATGGCATAGGGTCAATTTGATGTTGAAATATTAATCCCTCTGTCATCTTGAGTAAATAATAAAAAAATGTTTGAGAGGTGAGGAGCTGGACAAGACAATTTTCTGCTTAGTTATTCAATGTGGATTTGTCATCAAACCACCAGATGGTGTGATGGTCACTAGGAAAGAGACCTATCTACCTGATACTGATAGCAAACCTCATAGATGTTATCAACCTGTCCTAACACGTTTGTTGTGCAATGCTATGAGGCAAACATTGTAATTCTATCATCTCCCTGTCTGAGAGATACGAATACCAATACGAACTGCACAGCCATATACTTGAGCAAGTTTCCTCCGTAAAGTACCTGGGTGTTACCATTCAAAGAGAGGTCCACTGGGACGAGCATATTAACAATGTATGTAACCAAGCAAACAAGATCCTAGGGTTCTTAAGGCGAAATCTAAAGATTGGCAACTCCTGTGTGAAAGAAAGACCATATAAAGCCTTTATCCGTCCGATTTTAGATTATACATCTTCAGTCTGGGACCCATTTACCCAGAAGAGCATTGACAGGTTGGAGGCGGTCCAGCAACGAGCAGCACGCTTTGTCCTAAACCGCTACAGGAATACCTCTAGTGTTGGCAGCATGCTAGAAACACTAGGCTGGTCACCATTGGAGAAACGACGACGACAATCCAGGCTCTCCATGATGTACAAGATAAATAATGGGCTGGTCCACTGTTCCAGTATTAAACAGAAACTCGTCCCTCTCCCCCATAGACAGCGACGAGGCCATGACAGGCAATTCAGGCTCATACCAGCAAGAAGCCAGTATAGGAGCTGCTCATTCCTGCCCAAGACAATCAGGGACTGGAACAATCTTTCAAAAGGAACGGTTGAGGCGACAACACTAGACACATTTGTGTCTATTGCCTCAAGCCTTCAAACCCCTAGTGCATGATTTCCTCATCAACACCAGTAACAGAAACATTGCAAATCCCATCTACATGCATAGGAGCCAAAATGATCAATACATTGATCGTGGGCCCTTAAGATATAGAAGTATTAGAAGAAGAGAATGAGACAGGGCAATGAGTTCTACCTACTTTGGCATTTCATCATTTATTGCATCTCTCAGTTATTTTAATTTAATTTGTTTTTTTCATTAAAGGATTTTGGTTTAGTATTGTACATGGACCAACTTCTGGAACACGGTCGGGAACCTATGGCTCGCGAGCCAGAGATGTGACACTATTGATGGCTGCATCTGGCTCGCAGACAAATGTTAGATTATAAAAAAAAAGTGGCATTAATGGTAAGAAATACTCATTATTGATTAGCCACAGCATAACAGTGTTATTAAAAAGAATTCAGAGACATAATTATTGCATTTTTAGTGTTGAAATTACACAAAATGTACACATTTACTTGAATTTTTAGTTATAAACATAACTCACAGAATTACTTTTCAAAATATGTGGTGTCCATGGCTCTCTCAGACCAAAAGGTTCCCGCCCCCTGTTTCGGAACATCGAAGGCTGGGGAACAACCCCTGAGACATTAAAAAGGAGGGGGGAAAACCTTCAGGAACATCAAAGGGAGGGAATTGCTATGGCTCCAAAGATGTTGACATCATTTCTAATGAAGCAGCTGGGTCTGTCAGGCCTTGCATTTCTAATGAAGCAGTGGGGTCTGTCAGGCCTTGCATTTCTAATGAAGCAGTGGGGTCTGTCAGTCCTTGCATTTCTAATGAAGCAGTGGGGTCGGTCAGTCAGTCCTTGCATTTCTAATGAAGCAGTGGGGTCTGTCAG